CGTGCATCCGTAAACCGAAACATCTTAGGGTGAGGTCTTGCGTTATCCTACGGGCCATGAATCCGTCATCGCTAGCTACCAGAGGGAATACTGCGTATACGTGCGACGACTGCCAGGGCTTTTATAGTTTCCATGCAGTTTGATACAACCAAACGGTTTTTAAACCTTCAGGGAGAACCGCGCTCTACTTTCAACCAACCATTGATACACAAAAGAAGAAACTGAAAATTCTAAAAAGTCTAGATGAATAACGACTGCGTTCTTTTATACATAGTTTCTTTGTTGGTTCTAAGTTTTTTCATGATATTCCAACGAAAATGAAAATTAGTTTATACATTAAATGGCAGGAACAATTACAATAATGACGAAAAGTAACTATAATATTCTTTCTTCAAGATTTTCTAGTATACGAAGAAAATAAAGGAAAATAACTTTCTACAGGTTGTCAGCTTTATGAAGAGAAAAAGAACATTTGTTATTCTGAGAGATAGGGCGAGGCTTCCGTTTCAGTGCAAAGCTCTCAAAAGAAGAGAAGCGTGTAGATCTAGAGTCTCGTACGACGGTGGCGTATACGACGAGCAGAAGTTCATATCCTGCGGTACCAGCCACACGAATATGGCTGCAATGACAGATTTACAGATTCCAGCCATCGGGTTGGTCGCTTCTTCGAGATTCTTAAAGCGTACGTTCAGCGAGCGAGATGTGCCTTGGATAGTCCGAGTGCGCGTCAAATCACACCTCGACTGTTTATGCTTTACGTCTGCAACCTTCGTCTCTGTCTACTTCTTAAATTTCTTCGTCGTCACCGCCCTTCTTTTGCTCCATGTGACTCGCGTTTTATTTAAGTATTAAATTTAAATCTTGAAACCACGGATTAACGGCTCTCGTTTTTTAACTAATTTATGTAAAATAAAATAGTGAAGTCAAACGTATGTTCAGTTTAAAATCAGTGCCTCCATTGAAAAAGATAGATTGGCGAATTTAAAAGCCGAAGCTATAACAAATTTATAGCCCAACAACTGAAACTAATTATTGAATATAACATATAATTGACGTTGGAAAGTAATGAGCATCGTCATTAGCCTGCGTTTCAGTCTTATTAGCAACAATAAAATGAACGTAGATGACTGCCTGTCGACTCATCTTTCTTAATTGCACGACGACAGGTGACTTGGAACAAATATGATTTAAAATTGGATTTCATCGTAAATTTAACCTCGTGCCAAAATGGCAAATGTTCCCGCTTTTTTCTGTTTTTCATACGTACGTGTTACTTTCCGGATGCAATCCATGATGAACATTAATATTATTAAAAAATGTACGGTAAGAAGAAAACAGGAAGAAAGACGGACATATCTGTTAGCGCCATGAAAATTGTCCAAGCAAGCGAAGTATCTGAAGACAGACACTGACCGTGAACCGGGAGACCTAAAAGAAGTTTACCTTATGTCGTAAATAGAGGGACGTCTTTCTTACGTTCGAAGTTGACAGAACCACGTGCTCCTCAAGCTTACAAGAATTTCAATCCTTCGTTTAAATTTTATGTTACATTTTGCCCATATTTACTTTGCAGTTTATATATTTTCAATCATATTCTATTCATACCATTTTGCATAATCTTGTAAAACATAAAATTACAATCTATTAAATTAACGTCATTCGAATGAGTCAATGTTTTCATAACATTCATTCTATACAACTTCATATTCGCCAATTCTATGAAAAAAGCTATAGTAAAAGAGAAGCAGTATGCATGAGGTGGATCTCAAAAGATTTTCGCTGTAACATAGTCGGCAGGCATATCCTATCTCGCCGCTGGAATCCTCATATGTCTTTCATCGTGCCTTTCCAACACCTCGGAGCCTCTCGGATCATTTTGTTCGGTCTCTCTTCCTCTTTTCTTCCGAGAGTCCATGTCTCAAGCCACGGCAATACGAGAAGGCAATCATATCCCATCCCACTGTCCCAACTCGACCAAAATATCACTTCGACTACTTACTGAGTGGCCAAAACCAGGGCCGTGTTTGTGCGGTATGTCGATCACCCCGTTGAATTTCTATATCCCTTAATTACTCGTTCTATCGCATTGCGTGATGTAATAACATTGAATGAACCTGAAATTTTTTTTTAATTTTCCATTGATAAAATGTAATAAGAATTTGTCAAACTTACTATATGTTTTATTATTGTACAAACACCATATTATATAATTCTCAATATTGAAGCTTACTGTCAAATTTGAAATTTCATGGCTTTTAGTTTAAAAACTGCATATAATTTATTATTTTCATTTCAGATATTTCAAATTATGTTTCACATAATAAGTAATTTTGTAAATTATTAAAATATAACAATTATCTTTCAGTGATTTATTATTTTAGTCATATTCTTTTTTTTGTAAATAAATATGTTTATATAATTCTCAATTCAAATAAGAGAGCCAATAACACGCAACCTTTTCTTACACTATAGTTATTACTCTTGAAATTCATTATACTTGATAATTATTCACTAATATTGTAAAATAGATAAGAGTAAAATGATATATTAACATTCTTATGACAAAGAAAATTAAATCAATTAGTTTACTAAATTCTAGTTTCTACTAGACAATGGCGCCACATGTAACTACAGAATGTATTACCATTCGTTGGTTAGATGCAATTGTTGTGTAAGTGGTGTTTTCGTTCAAAGTTTTGTCTATACATTGTTTATAAATTTGTGCATGTGAGAGTAGATATGAAAATATTAAAACTTTTTACAATAATTTGTTTAAACCTCAAAATGAATATGAAGTAAAAATATAATATTAATATTTAAAAATAAAATCATTTAAGAAACGTTTCAGCACATAACCTCACTTTTCTAAAACGTAAGAGTCAATTAATTTAATCTGTAAAATACACTATTCTTTATGTATATATTTTTAATTACTTCTTTATATATATATTTTTAATTAATATTTTTAATTCCAATTGTTAAAATTTTTTATTTTCTTGTTTTAAGTATCATAATTAATATCATAATTTTTTAGGGTTAATAATGAATTCTCCAGGATCCCAAGCTCTAGAGGTAGCTAAAAATATGAAAGATCTAGCAGTATTTAAAAAACCAATTGGTGTAGCAAAAAAGCAAAAAAAAGTGCAACCAAAGATTTTAGATGAAGATACATACATAAAAAAAATGGCAGAAATTATTCAAAGAGACTTCTTTCCGCATTTAGATAAGCTTCAAGCACAAAATCAGTATTTAGATGCATTAGAACAAAATGATGTAAAAAGAATGAGAGAACTTTATGAAAAATATAGTTCAGGAAGACCAACAACTGAAAGACCTGTCAGTCCAGCGACATTTGAAACACCTATGAACAAAATTGAATCAGAAGATGAACTATTTAAATCCTCAAAAATATCAAAAGATATACCTGTGAATGTAGGTACAAAAGAGAAGGACAAGGAAGAACTTACATCTGGATTAGATGCATATTTGAGTACACATACGAGTGAAGATAATGCAAGTTTTGAGGAGATGATGATTGAAGCAGAGAAAAGATTAAAATTGAAATTTGCTTGGCTCTATGAAGTTGAAGAAAACTCAAAAGCATTAATGAATGATAAATCTTCAGATACTTTGGCTATAGAAAATGATAATAAGAGACCTAATCAATTAGATAGTTGGAATTACAAAAATAAAAATTACATTATGTATGTTCCAGATGGGGTTGAATTAACTCCTGATGAAAGAATAGATTTGGCTAAAAGAAGACAAATGGTAGTGCATGAAAATACAAGACTTCGTATTAATCCTTTCAACGAACAACAAAATAAAGAAGCTATTAATGAATTAGCAAAGAATCAGTCAAAGGCTAATGATGGAAAAATTGGAGTTGATGGGAAAGAAATTGTAAGAAATCCAACACCTAAAATAAATGGATTTAGTTTTGTAGCAACTCCAAGTCCAAGACCTGGAGAATGCGACAGTCCTTTAATGACATGGGGTCAGATAGAAGGTACACCATTTAGATTAGATGGAGGAGACACACCTTTATTGAGAACAAGTCAAGGGCCATCATTTAGAATGGCAGAACCTCCAAAAAGAGAGCAGCTTGCATTACAATTAGCAGAGAAAGCTGGTGAAAGACACAGAGATAGGAAAAACAAAGCTTTGGAAGCAGCAAGAAAATCATTAGCAACGTAAGTATCACATAAATATCATGTACATAATTATTTAACAGATCTATTCTGATTTTTATTTTATTTTCTTTTTAGTCCATCACCAAGGTCAACTATGGATCGTTTGAGTACTATGTCTCCAGCAGCCAGAAGATTGGCTACACAGAAACTTCGAATTGCAAGTACACCTACTCCACGAAGAACATCATCTCTAAGAACACCATTGATAGGTATCAGAACACCCAGTACTCCACAAATAAATACAGCTTCAAAATCTGAAAATCATCTTGAACTGAAAAATAATAGCACACGCTGCCAAGGTCCTGTTCTAACTGATAATTTACTTAATTTGCCCCTTCAGAGACAAAGAGCAGCTGATTTTTTCAACAAAATGTAAGAAAATGTATTGTATTGTATATAACTGTAAATATATTATTATGTAATTAGAATATAAATATTAATTTAAGTATTCATTGTCTAAATTACAAAAATAATGTTTTATAATAAAATGCTTAATAAAAGATGATGTGCCTTCACTGATCTCAAACGGAACTAAAACCATTGAAATATTTCTTTTGTCTCGTCTCGCGATATGTATATAAACAATAACATGGAAGTAACACGGAAATACCGTTTTATCAAATTATCACGTCCAACGTTTAATTCATTAAACATATTATATCGTAATATAAATCGCAACCAATACAATGATGTACCCATTTAGTTTTACTTAAAAATCTAAACAAATATGTTTACTATGCAAGAAAGATTTGACTGTCCACTTTTTTTAAATACAGGAAGTTTTTAGAATATTTTAAAAATAACAGGAAATACAATATGCTATTAAATTGCGTAATCTATCTTTAAATTCAGATTTTTTCGTATATATAAAGCTGCAAGAATGAAAAATAAGACAGAACAGAAGATCTTAATCAATATGAAATCTTCAGTGTTGAATATTCTTTTTGTGCTGACAATAGCGTACTCGGCAGTTCGGGCACAAAATCCAGAATGTACATGTGGAGGATTGGGACAAGGTATATGATTAGAAGAATTAATTCTAATAATATAATTTAATTTTTACTTAAAATTATTTATTGAATTTGTTACTTATAGGTTCAAATCCTTGCACTTGTAGTGAGGTTGTTGTGAAAGCTGCAAAACTACCAAAACCTACATATTATGTATCACCACAAGAAATTAAGGATGCAGCAACTGTAAAAAATACTGCTGATACATCCCAAACTGATTGTTCCAATTCACAAAATGCCAATAAGGCAACTGCATATAGTGACAGCAACCCAAGTCCTTGCAGTAAGTCAAGTAGCAATAGTAACACATGTGGATGTAATGGAAGTAGTCAAAATACACACAGTAACAATAATTCAAATAAACAAAGTAAAAGTAGTTCAGTTACACACAGTGACAGCAAAATGAACCTAAATCTGATTGTAATTGTAAAAAGCAAAATATAGAAACTTTGAACACTGAGGATCCTATAAATTCTAATGGGAATATCGTACCCAGGTATTTGTTTTTCTTTTCTTCTAATAATAAATAATGTTGTAAGAAAATTAAATTATTTATAAATTTAGAAATAACATAGAAATTTTCATGACAAATTCTTATTCTCAGATTTTCACCAATTGGTGATTTATGCTATCCTCTTCCAATGGAACCTAATAGTGGAAAAATAATTGAAAACACCAAAGTTACACCAGCATATCCTGGCAAACTTGTCTGCTGCCCTCCATCAGTTCCTTATGAGATATGTATAAATACAATGACTGGAGAAACTAACAGAAAATTGATTACATCTAGTTCTGATGCTAGATTATTTAGAACACACAAAACTGATTCGTATGGAAATATGAATTTTGGAACATTTAGTAAACCAAATTCTGCACTGTATAATTTACCTCTGGTCTATGCTAATTTAAATACTGAAAATAGACAAAAACAATTTTCAAAGATGATTTCAAGTAGTACATCTTCAGATTGTTTTGATGATACTATAGGTTTGATACCTTCTACATACATTTATAATATAATTTATAATTGGTTAAATATGAAAATATAACAAATATTATTGTATATATTTTAGATGAAACTCCAGAGCATAATACATATCCAATAATGCCAGCAGATGCAGTTTCTCTTACTCTTGCATACAAAAATCTTCGTGCTCCAAATGTAATTTATAGACAAGGAAAACAATTTGTTCCAGAAGATAAATTATCCTTTGGTCACCGAACAGTACCAGCTGATGTAAAAAATGAAAATCAAATTCTTGATATCGCTGAAGAAAAACTGGTAACAGTCAATAAACCTGTTGTGGAATTAAAATTAGCACCGCAAAAAACTGTTGTTATTGGTTCTTATAATGAACAAGAAGAAGCTAAACTTGCAGAACTTGAAGCAATTGAACGTGAAAGTATAACACAAGAAGAAACATCTGATCAAATGGCAGAAAGTCTTATTACTTACAAGTGTGTTTAATAATTTAAAAAATAATTAATACTTATAGAAAAAATGTTATATATTAAAAAAAATGTAATATATGTATGTTATTTACAGAGATTTGGGTTATGCACCAGTAGATGCAACATATAGAAAATCAATGAGTTATAACCAAGGAATGAACAGAAAAATTGATAACAGTGAAGAAGAACCATGTGGACCTTTAGGGCCATCAATACCAGGTTATGTGCCAGGCAGACTAATAGTTCAAGAAAAACATCTTGATGATAATTTATACAATTCTCGTATAACAGAACTAAACAGAAATATAGAGTTCCAGAATTCAAAATCTGATTCATGTCCAAAGTGAATTATTAAACAAAATAATATTCGGTCTCTGAGTTTATATTATGTTTAATGTCTATAGTTTGATAAAAGCAAACTATATTCATATTAATATACTCATAATTGGAAAAAATTGAATATTAGGCAACATAAATATACACTGTAATTTAATGTATCTACTAATAAATGAATTTTTGTAATATTAACTTTATATTTTCTTTCTGTACCTATTCTTTCTTTACCTATTTCTTATAATACCCCATCAAATTTGTTATATAAAAATAATTTATTAAAACTGTATATTGTATTATATAATTTTCTTACATATCTACACAAAATGCAATCCTTATAATCTGAACTGAATAAAAAATTTGTAGTATAATATAATACATTTCCTCAACTAAACTTGGAATAAATATATATGAAACATTACATTAGTTTTTTGATAAATTAATTATTTGTCAACTATCTAGTAGCATTTAATAATTGCTATGTTTTATTTTGTTTCTCTCAATTTAAAATAAAATTATGTTATTTAAAACAAAATACGTTAAAAATTTCAATGGTATAATCAATTTAATATTTTAATATATTGCAAAAATTATTAAAATATTATAATATAAAATATTTAAATAAAATATAACTTATATTCGTGAAAATGATTATTATCGAACAGTACTTTAAATATTACCTTGACAATTTTTATTTGCTATAAATAGTTATACTTTCAACAATTTAAAATAATTTGTAAAATTACACAATATTTTCTATTTTAGAGAACTTTAAAAAAAGAATAGTATAAAAATTTGTAATGTTTCCTGGACGTTGTTATATACTGAAATTTACAATGTTTCTTCGACTTTAGAGGTTTAAGCGAACCTATCAACACTTCGTGAAACACTCTCTAAAGCGGAGGAAGAAAATCTTTTTGTACGAGTACCACATGGTAGAACATGATGATTCTGGCAAAGGAAGTATAATATATGTACATATCTGCATGTACAACACATTGCTATTTAAAGCATTCCACAATTTTCTTTAATAATTTTTCTTCTTTTTTCTATTTATGCATGTATCTTCTGATTTACTTCCTGATCTGTATCAAGTTTGAATCAAATATTTGCTAAACGTCACTATTATTAAATTAATTTTGTGAAATAAAAGAAGATATTAGAAAGTTGAAATATTAATCATTCAAAATGTTCCAATAACGATCTATCAAAACTTTAAGATGGAATGTTATACTTGTGCATATTGACTGATATAAAACAGTAATATTTAAAATTCTTAACGAATGGTACGTGTGTTTCATTCACCATTTTATAAACATGTTCACAGTTTATAACTTCCGCAAGTAAAAATTATATACTTCCTTTTGTACGAGCACGTTCGAAAATTACGAAACTTTTAGATGTAAAAATTTATACATTTTCTTCTTTTTTATTTGTACACATTTGAGAATTACAAACCGGAAGAGAAATTGTTTTTAATGGACATATATTAAGCACGATCGACATATATTTAAGTAAAATCGTTGGCTGCAGTTCATTTGTATTTAGAAGCGTAAATTTTAATATAGCGATATGAATTCAGGAACGACAATGTGGCTTTCAGTCTTCTGTTCAATTTGTATTTTGGGAAATTGTTACAGCCTTGATTACAACGGTGCTAAACTAGTAACTTACGGTGAACCTTGCGTTACAACTCGTCGATTCCCTTTTCAAATCGAGGCATAGATCAATGTCTATTAATTTTACATTATTAATCGAATAAGATATATTTCTCATATAATTATTCATTAAAATAATTTCAGGGACCTAAACCGCCACCAAAGGAAGAAAAGATACCTGTATCGTTAAACTTTAGAATTGTTTCTGATATGTATGTTCAACCTCGTCGTACTGAATATCCAATTTCGTTAGACATACCATGTACTACTTCAACACCATCAGAAAAGTTATCGATAGATGATACTTTACGAGGAAAAGTTTACACGTACAATACTTATACTCCTTATGACTTTAATTCGGCATCATCTTCGAAAAATTATAATTTTGGCATTGATGTCCCAAGTATAACAAAAGAGTAAGTATTATGAGAATAATATTTAAATTCTTCTAAATATAACTGTGATTAATTTTTAGCTCTATTACTGAATGCGAAACGAAACGAATTGAACGACTGAAAGGACTTAAATCTCGAATTGATCGAATACTTGTTCCTGCTTGCGATGTTCCATCAAGATCATCGTATTGTCAATGTTAAATTTTCTTAAAATGAGTTTAATATGAAATATAAAAAAATAATTTTTCATAACACAGTAAAATCAATAAAAAGAATAGATCGTAAAATTATTACAAACAAATATGAAAGTACAATAAAAATCATAAAAACATTAAAAATGTTTGATATTAATAAATAACAAATCATTCCTTCTTTTCTTTTCCTTTTGAAATTGCTGTTCGATGTTTTATACATATAAGTAATTACTGAAGGATTAAATACGTGCTCTTTTATTGTTTTTTAAGTGCATGCATACATGTCAATTTATACCTTAATCGAAGCTATCACAATTAGTAATCTTAATTTTTAAAATTGCGCACGATGTGCGTGCACTTTACTAAAATAAGATATCAATTCTGCGAGTATATGAAGCTGTCTTCATCAACCGAAATTAATAAGTGTGTTTTAGTTGGAAGAATGAAGAACAAGTGTTCAAAGATCTTTCTGTTTTACGTGGTATTAGATACCGCAACATTAATTGTTGCTACAGATGTTACGACAAGAATTAGAGAAGGAATACAAAATTCTTTATCTGTGTTACATCAAGGTGATTTGCCCGTTGTTTTAAAATCTTTGCAATTTCTTCCCATATCACTAGAAAGTAAAGATAGCCCAAGGATTGAAGATGAGGCTGCAGAGAAAAAGCCGGTAAATTTTTATTTTATACTAGTCATTGTTATCATTTATATTATGAAGTTAGAAAAATTTATTAAGAGTTAAATATTTTTAGAATATTACAGATAACTTAAAGAATTTGTCAAAGCGCCAAGCAGTAAATTCGATGGTTGGCGAAAATTGCGAATCTCATTTGCAATCAAACGCATCTCTGATAGAAAAGTTAAAAAATTATTCTTGTGAAACAGAGGCTTTGAACTATGGCCACGAACATCTGGTTGACACTATAGTTCATGAATTCTTTTGTGAACTAAACAAACTCTTTCATTTTATTTTAATCGCTAAACAAAATTTAAAGACTAAATCTCCATTAACCCAGCTATTTAATATAACGGAAGATGCAATTTCTTTCACAGAATTTACATTTAGCGAAACTTTACCTGAAGTTGTGGAAACTAGTATAGTGCACTTCGAAGAATTTTTACAAAATCCTGAGAATATGAAAGGACTGATTGATGAAATACAAAAATCGATTTCTATTCTTACTCCTATTATCAAATGTGTAAATAAGTTAAGTGCTCCTATTAAAAAGTTTTTCAATCACACTGAGAAACTTTTTGGATACCTTAAATCCGATTACAGTTATCTGGATATCATGAAAAAGTTTGAAGAAGAAATTTCTCAGTTGAACAAAGCAATATTAAGTTTATTTTATGGATATGTATTAAATCCTGTAGAGGAAACGACAAATTTATTTTCTGAAGCAATGACACAGATAGAATCGGTATTCGATAATTTTACAACTTACATTCAAGGAAAATGGTTTCGGTATCTAGCAGTTTTAGAGGAAGGTATTGACATTTTACTATCCTTTTACAATGGATATTTCGCTTCTGAATTTTCGCAAACTTTAGTTACAATGTTTTCAACAAACAAATTCTTTGAACAATATTCATTGAGTGAAAAAAGTTCAACAAACATTCAGACAACGCTAACTCTTGATGAAAATAATTAATTTTCATCATTTTCTGTACCAGAAATTATTAATTAATGTTTTTTTAAAGATCTATGCCTTCTTTACTCATTGGAACAACCGGAACTTCTAAAGATCACTTTGCAAATTACACTTCACAATGTATGATTCTTCTTTATCATTAATAACAGCATTATCTTTTGTAAATAATGCTATTCCGTTTCCTACAATCAAATAGCAATACATTATTATTATCACTTCTATTATTCCGATTAGAAATATGTTCTCACACGGTCTTCTTCTTTTCATGCTCAGATTTCACTCTCAGATTAAAAATGTTAATCTCTATTTTAAAATTGTAAAATTTTATTTTTCTATTTAAATTTATCAATGTAAAGTCATCATTATTTGTAACAGTAAATGTTATTTCCCTTCTTTGGGCGGGTTAGATTCTTATATGTCTTTTTGCAAAAGAAACCATATCTGTTTTCCTCTACTATCAAACTATATAGTTATATTATATTATATTATTTAAAAATAGTGTAAATTTCACTGGATTTATAAGCACCATTAATCCAATTTATTTTAAGGTATACAATTTGAAATTAATTTTCATAGTGTCAGAGATCAATTATAAAAGTTTATTACTTTCGAATATGAAAATCTGACAATCCAACTTACGATTATCAATTGAAATGCAATCGATCATTTAGGATTATTAAAATTTATTTAATTACTTATTATAGTTAATTTATGTAACAATAATGTATGTACTAAAATTGTTTATTCGTGTATATATGCTTAAATAAAAGTATTATTTATTAAATATAATTATGTTTTTACTGAGAAACTTGAATTTCGAAGAATTGATAAAAAATTCATTTTGAAAAAATATTGGAAAAAGAAAAGGGAAATTTCTTTTAGATTAAATTTTGTAAACAATTTACAATTTTGTAAATTCCGCTATCGAAACCCAAAAGATATATAAATTAAGAATAATTACATTTATTAACTGAAAAATAAGATATAAAATAATTGGAAACTTTTTATATATTGATGATTAATATCGGTAATGATAATGTGTTTAAGACAATGAAATAGTGCTGAGTTTATGAAATACGGTAAGCTTTATTTGCCTACAAAAAATCAGGAAATGGAAAAACGGTGATTACACAATTTCCGCGAAACAAAGATAAAATGCCATAAAAACTGCAAATCATGACGCAATGAGGAATAATTAGTTCCCTCAAAAGCAGCCATTCGATTGGAGAGCAGTTCATTTTGTTTAAGAAGAAGTAGCATACGTGTTGCGTCATTGACTACTGGCGACAACGAAATTGAAAATAGCACCGAAGTAAAGAGGCTTAAGTGGTTATTAGTGTGATCTTTGATCTTAATTCGTTTTATCATACTAACACTTCGCACGAAGCTTTCAAATCAGTTTACTGCCGTCTCTCTAACAGAAACTGTCACATTCTTTCGACTACACATCTTACAGAGAAAAAACAATTACATTATGAAACGATTTCTCTTATTCATCCTTCTAATCGTTTGCTTAATGCATATACTGCAGGTAAATATAAGATTTTCTATAAAATTAGATTGAATATAATTAAATCTTAACAATGATTTATAATCAAAAATTCTTATAATTCTTATTCACAATTTGCATTATTATTTAGGCCAGTCCTTTACCACAAGATGCACAGCAACCGACGCCAGATGATGATAATTTAATGACTAAAGCGAAGAAAATATTCGATGATGCAAAAGGAGCGCTCGAGAACGTGGATTTGAATGATGCTCTGACAAAAACCAAATCATTTATTGAACAAGCTGGTGAAAACATTCGAAAAGAAATAGAAAAAGTGTCAGACAAATTTCACTAAAATCCTTCAAAGTTGAATTTGAACAATAAACATAACTAATCATTTGAACGATACAATTAAATCTTATGCACATAAATACATAAAGTAACAATGACGGCTTTAACAAAAAGTGTTGTAATTTTTGAAACATTTCTATACTAATATTAAATTTTTTTGTTTAAATAACACTTTAATTAATATTATATCACTCATAAGATATTTAGAATATGTATGTGTATTAATATATTTCTTGGAAGCAACATCAACTTTCATGTGAATAATGATTTAAAAAAAAAAATGTTAAATCAATCAAAATATAAATAACATGTATTTCAATGAATAAATGATTTGTATGGTACAATTAACGCAAAACAACACAAATTTTGAAAATAAAATGTAAAGATTTATATCTATAAACAATAGCTTATTTTTTATTCATACATATCCCTTAAAAATGTCGATATTTGTTTTTGTTTTTACTCAAAAGTAATTTTAAATATTGCTAATGTTTAATTAGCAATTTAACGATGTTTAATTAGCCATTTAGGAGGAATTACATTAGCAACGTGAAATATCATTAAATAAATCTCAATACATTAACACAATATATAAATCATATTGAAATGATAATGAAAATTTATATCCTTCAATCACTATTAATTAGTATGTGTGGTATACACTTTAAATACGAAGTAGATAAGCAAAGAACAAGATGTAAAGTAAAAATCGGGTGAAAGTACACGGATGTATTACAAATAGTAAAATCAAAATAGTCACGGGTCAAGGCTTCTATTGATCAACAATACATGTACAGATAACCAGCTGTTTCTTGTGGACTTTGAAGAAACGATTTCGTGGCATCGATAGTACACATGCAATACAAGAATCAACAAATGCATCGATGTAAATTTTTCCGCAGGACCTTGTCCCCTTGACGTAACTTCCATCAGATATCTTGTATTTACTATTTAACACTAAAGATCAAAAACATGATTAATTAATTCCGTGCATCTTAATAGATTTTCCTCCTGAGATCAGTCTCGTAATATAGCATTTTTTCTTTATAATACTAATTACAACGAGATATGATAATGAACATCAATATGAATATAAAAGTTATAAATGTACAATTTTTATATATTTTAGTATCTCTCTGTTAAACTGATGTACTATCATCACGGATACAAATGCAATGACACGAAATTAACGATAATTTAATTTTATCTTGAACTCTAACTCGATATATTATAAAATCGAATATCAGCGTACATAATTACTCACAGCTTAATAAATATATTACAGCACTTATTTAATTATATTCTTACTAATAGAAAATTAAATTAAAGTATCCACATCTAATTATGTATACATATGTTATAAAAAATAATAGCGAATGTTGTTGAAAAATAATAATAAATGTTAAGTTCATTTGCATTTTATGACATATTGCATTTTAATACTATATCTATTTATTATTTTTTCAATAACTTCTTAAAAAATTTAAAGTGATTAATAGTTATCATAACAATTTTTCAAGACATTTTAATGGAAGCATTCGAAGAGAGATACAAAAATCTGAACTCATCGTCGCTATAGTGAGATAATAGACTGTGCCCTTTTGCACTCTCGATAAGAATTGCCTATAAAAGTAGTAGCTCGAGCAGCTCACGTATCAGTTATTTTCTAGTTGTTTCACAGTGAATTAAAGAAAAATGAAAAGTACTCTTGTGATCATTTTCGCCATTGTGTTGGTTTCGGAAGCTAAAGTTGCACCGACTAGCACTTCAAATTCCCCAGCATCTCCTGACTCTCAATTGAATGAATTTATCAGTCAGGCATACGCGAATATCAATAATTTAGGCAAACAAATCCAAGAACAATGGAACATCCCCAGTCAGGACAAGGTAGTCAAAACCATAAAAGAAGAAAGCACCAACCTCGTTAATAATATCCAACAGTACATGAAGAACATTACAGAGGAGGTATAATAATTAATTAAATACTTAGTTAATTGAATCTAATGAACTTAAGAATTTAGTTTCTACGGAAAAAGTAATTTTTCAGTAAGACATTTTGAAGTAACAAAGATGGAAAAGGAAGAAAATAAAATTCATCAAATATCATTTGTTTCTTTTAGGTAAAAAATAAAAGCCCTGAACTTGAAAAACAATGGAACGACGTTAAAGTTAAACTTAATAAGGTCGTCGAGGACATTAGTAGTGGAATTCCAAACGCTCAACAGCAAGTCACTGAATTACAGACCAAGTTCCAGCAAGGAGTTCAAGCCATACTCAGGGAATCCGACAATGCCGCGAAATCTTTGAGCCAACACTCTGAAAAACTCCAGGAGGATCTTGCAAAGTTTACGAAACAAGCGGTTGATATTGCCGTGGAAGCAACACAGAATTTAAATAATCAACTTCAGGCCGCCGCAGCTCAGAAAAGTTGAATAATCACAACTTTCGATGTCAAAGCTCAAAACGTATTAATTACATTTAAAAAAAAGAAAAAGAAATGCATTAAAATTCTGATAAAAGTATTTTCTTATAATTTTGCCTCAAATGCTACATGATTTATTTTGGTTTATTCTTAGATTCTGTATTATAGTCATAAGTTAAATACATGTCGCGAACGATTGATCCAAATTTTATCATTTTTTCGTTTTATTGGTTCGCCTATTCGTATTTCAATAAAATGTGTTGCGACGAATATAATAATCTGTAAATATAACAAGACAAAGATGTAAATATCACTCAAACAACCTTTAACAGAATATTATGATTATAAAATAACATTTATGCTTACGAAATAAATTGCTAAGTCATTTGAAATAATGTATTGCTTAATATTACATATACCAATAATTATTGAGTGTCAGCACATGCCATTCAATAAGAAATGTTCGAATAAGAGAAATAAATTCGATAAGAGTCTGGCATATATCAAATAAACGTAAGAACGTTGACTAGAGTGTACTGAGAATATTGTAAGTTCACAAATGAAATGTATTTCATTTTAAAAAAGATGAAAACACTGTTATTTCTTTTTGCAATATCTATGGTAAGTAATGCTGTATTTCGATTACTCAAAATCGTTTATCATTATAAATCGTTTATCAGATAATAATAATGGGAACAGACAAGATATTAGCAAAAGAACAAAAAAGTACAATAGAAGAACTTTCAAATATCATAACAAGCCATTCCAACGTCCATAGTGATAGAGAAGAAAAGATTAATAAGCGATTTGAGTGGATACTTCAAGGTGTGCACATTTTGGGACAAGTGGACAATTTTATTTCCAATCGAACAAAAGACATTATTCAAAGTTTACATGCAGTTTATAACAAGGACGATAAAAATACGTACAGATATTTTCATTGAGATTTAAAATAATGTTATTAAATATATAATACATTAATCTTTAAATTGATTGTATATTTGAATATGATATATAGTATTTTAGAAAATATATTTTAATTTATAAGATTTTAAATAATCTTTAAAAAAAATCTTCCTTAAATATAAGCGAGTTACTATAAATAATTAAAGAAGCATTTTCATTAAAAAGAAAGAATAAGCATCGATGAAAATAGGTTCTTTAAGATCGAATTGTGAATGATCTTTATCAGAATTTCTATTAATTTCTCACTAGGTGGCGACTGTATCCGACAGTCACCGGGATCAGGTTGATCAGGAGACTTGTGCTAAGTTTTATCGTTTACCACATGTTGATTAATTAAATAGAAATATAATATCGTGGCCGAAATCATTATTTGAGGCTACCGTCGTTCGTTTCCTAATTTCGTCAACGCAAAAATTCCATAAAGGTGATTTCCTGCGTAAAGAGAACGAAGTTACGTCACGCACCAGCAAGATATCGCGTGTCGAGCAGACCGTGTTCCCCCGTACGTCTCCTCGAGTACAAAGTGTTTCTGCTTTCTTTGCTTACACTCTTATATCTGTCAAAATCGGAAAGTCACGCACGCGCTAGACTTTCGCAAACGAGTGTTTAGATAACCATTGGTGCATAACCTATAAACGATCGTGACTCGAAAAGCAATCGTGAATGTTGGTAGTTGTTGCAGCTAGTACCTCCTGTCAATCATTTTTGAGGTCGAAAAAGATTTGAAATTAAAATCTTCAATATCTAACGAGAAGTTAGTAGGAAGAAAAAAATTTTCAGTATTTCCCTGCGTTGGGATATTCGATCGAAAATATTTTTTGACGTTAAGTAGTCACTGGGAAATTAGTCAAAATTCCGGTCCCCACTAGGAAACGAGAAGGTCCGCAACAAACCGGCGGCAGAAATCTATCAACCACTGGCGAAGAATCCTCGTCGAGTGGCAAAATGAATAGCAAAAGAAAGAATCGTTCAAATACAAACAGGTACTTTTCTGTTTTATTGTGTTTTCTGTATACCTTTTTATTCTTTATACTTCTTCGTTTTTTTATGTATCATTTTTAAACTGAAATAAATTTTAAATATTTTTGAAAATTTTTTTGTTTGTTGATATTTGAAAACAATATTCCTGAATTTATTTATCAATATAATATTATTTTTAGATCACCCCGAGCTCGTGGTCCACAAGAAAAGTGTGTTGCTGCTGAAGGTGTATATAATAATGCCCATTTCATGCATGCAATAACCAGTCACGTAGGCAATATTGTACAGGTATTAAAATTATTTGATAGCTAAGATAAAGTTTGCATTATTTAAATATAATAAGAGATAAAAACAATAGTTTTTTGATAGATTTATTTATTAACAAAATATATAATATGATAAATTTCTTTATTTTTTTACATTTGATAAACTATAATTTTTATTATTCCAGATACAAACATTGAATGGTTCGATATATGAAGGTATTTTTCGCACCTTCTCAAGCCAGTTTGATGTTGTCTTAGAAATGGCACATCGTGTAGAAGGTTCGGGAAAAATTAGTGTGGAAAGTGTAGTAGAAAAATTAATTTTTAAGCCACAAGATATTATTACTATGTCTGCCAAGGATGTTGATTTAGATTATGCTATACGTGATACCTTTAGAACAGACACTGTTATTAGTAAATATAATGGTTTAATTGGTGAAAAGGAATTGGAACCATGGGATGCACCTCCTGCTACTATGAATGGAGATGACTTAAAATTAGATGGCACAACAGTGAGTAATTTTATGTGTTTATATATTTATATCTGTACATATAAAAAGTATTTATATGAAATCAACTTTAGAATGGTTGGGATGCCAATGACATGTTTCGTAAAAATGAACAAAAGTATGGAGTACAAACAACATACGAACCAACTTTGGCTGCTTATACGTTGCCACTTCAGAAAAAAGATACAAAAGATTACAAAGAGCAAGAACAAAAAGCTGCAGAAATTGCAAATGAAATAGAGTCACAACCAAATTACAAAGCAAGATTAGAACTTGAAAATGGTGATGAAGAGGAAAGATTTGCAGCTGTGGTGCAGTTTTTTCGCTATTATCATTGTCGTGTTTAAAAAAATGTAGATTTAATTATCTTCTATTAATCATAACTTTAGGTACGACCCACTGAAGGTAAATATATTCCACCTCCACTGAAAAAGAAAAATGGGAATAATGCAAAGCTGATGAGATCTACTGAACCTCCACCCTCACCAGGACCTACAGCCACCAATAAAAATGTTTTTAGTCAACAATCTTCTTCTAATGTAAATGTGAACATTCCCCCAACCTCAAATCTGCCAATTGGAATGCAAAGCGCTCATCCTTCAGTACAACACCCGGTATCATTAAACATGGGAATGCCACCTAGTGGAGTAGTAGTTACATACAACAATCCTCCACCACCATTTGTGCCTCCACCAACAACACAACCACCACCACCAGGTATTAAAAATCATTTACTTATTACAATCTACAAAGAAATAAAAATGTATATATTACATTTTAAACAAATTTATATTTATAGTATCTGTGATTCAGCAATCACAGCCACAAGCAACACCTTCTGTACCACAAGTCAATTTTCCATCACAACAACAACAGACACCTTCATCTAAATTAAATACTGAAAAACGTGAACGACCAGGTAGACAACAGGTGTATCAAGCTGATAAAGCGCCACCAGCACCATTTCCCCAAACAAATGTTGCCACTTCTCACCAACAGCAACAATCATCACATCAACAGCATAGTCAATTACAACAGCAAAATTCAGTTGAAGGACAACGGTGTGAAATAGTTTCACATAAGTCAGATCATAGAAAGGTAATATTTTGCCTCCAAATTATATTTAATCTACTTTATGTATACAAAAATTACGAAATATATATATTGTTAAAGGTACCAACGCCACGTAGTAGAGAAGAGCAACATTCAGAACTGAGGCAATTTGCTTCAGATTTTAAGTTAGCAGAAACATCAACGCAAGATACACCACCTGTTAGCAGAAAGCAACAGCAGCATCAACATCAGCAAGATACTCATTCTTCGCCTCAAGTTACTCAGACACATCATCAATCACCTCATCAGCATACATCGCCACAACAATCGCAGCAACAACCGCAACAGCAACAACATTCAAACCCTCCACAACAACAACAGCAATCACATCAAAATCAAACTGTTTCAGAAGAAACTGTGGTCACCAGTAAACCACCGCCAGGTCCATTACCTTTACGACCTACAAGTCCTTCTCAATCACAACAACAACAGACTTCTACAAATTCAACCACTGTGTCACAAGCTACTCAAGAAGCAACTGTTGATAAAATTACAACAGCTTTTAAGAAATCAACATTAAATCCAAATGCTAAAGAATTTAATCCCAATACTAAACCTTTCACACCGGTAAGCTATCAGTTATACAGTAGCAAATGTAATCAACATTTAGATTACTAAACTATTATTTAAATATCTATTTTCAGCGATCTCCAAGTACACCAACACCAAGTAGACCACACACTCCACAAACACCTCAGTACACTGGAGCAACAATGCCTGCGACCGTAGTTATGCCAGCGTATGTAATGACTAGCCAACCACCAACTGCGTTCAGTCAACCACCGGCTCAACCTGTGACAAGGTTCCGGAAGGGTCAGTATCTAGGTATCCACATCTTATTTTCAATTTTCTATTTATTAACAGGTGTTTTACAACATGACTTACTGCAAAAAGAATTATCTGCTTTAAAATAATAATATAAATTGTATATCATTTTAATTATTTCAGTACCAGTAATGCATGCGCAACATCGTGCGCAAGATATAGCTTCTCAGATGCAAGTAGTAGCGGCAACTGGACAACCTTTAATGGCACCGGCCCCTTTACACCCACCATTCCAAGTGCCTTATCCTGGTCAACCGGCATATCAACAGATGGTACGCATGGTTCAGGCACCACCACCACCGCCACATATGGCAACACCTTATCATCATCATGATTCACCAGGACCTCAGGCTCCTAGTATTCAGTACATGGGTCCACATACACATCCACACCCTCATGTTGCTCAACAACCACCAAGTCAAACTCCCTCCCCAGCTAATCCTAATCCACCACACACACCAGGCACTTATAATCCTCCTGGTACTCCACAACCCACATATCCTCCACCACCTCCTCAAGGCCATGCTCCAAGTTATCCAATAATGTGTCCTATAATTCCTCCTCATATACCGATACCACCGCAGCACATGCAATACCTACCGCCGCAACCACCTCCAGGAGCGCAGCAAACTATACCAGTGATTTTGCCGCACAATCAGTAGCTGCAATCAGAAATGGATGAAAGAAGAGAGAACTACTAGTATTCTGCAGAGGTAGAATAAAGTTTATAAATTTAAGTTACTTTCATGATGGCGTTAAGCACTTAAGATGACTTTCTTGCTTGTACATCGACATATTTATAAGCAATTCTACAAGTTTTATTCTTTTTGTTGTTGAACTTAGATATTATTCGTTATTTTTTTTCTTGTTAATGGCAATATCATTCCAGAGAAAATAGCATATTCTTCATTTAATTCAAATAATAATCAGCAATTTTTATAAAAGTAAAATCTTATAAAAATGTAGTAATATAAAATGAAGTGCTGATCATCTTGAAAGTGACTTTGAAGTGGGTTAGTTAATTACAGAAGACCCACAATGATATTTAGTCCCTCAAGTTATATTTAAATCTGAATCATACGAGACAGATTTCAATATGCAATTTACTACCATGTACTGCTATGTTATTAATTTAAATGTTACGACGAAAAACAGACATGATTTTTAAGATTAATTTATAGAGATATATGAAATGTAAGAAAAAAAAAATTGGCAAACAAATATACTTCGAAATTGTATTGATAGGTGGTACCTATACAATATATTAGGAAATGAAAGAAACGAGGGACTGTGACTATAAAATGCTGCAAGAAATATTAAAATTAAAATTCACTTTTGATTATTATAACTCGCACTACTTTGTAAACATTTATTAAACCAGAATTGAATCTGTTAGGTTGATACAAAGAGCTATTTAATAGTCTGATGGTGTATGTACCTTCAAGGATTTGAGTACTCAAAAATGGAATAATCTTTAACATCACGCGAGTAAACACTTTTTTTTTTATACAAAGTAATTATTGGAATGATGTAAAAAAATAGAGCATATAACGTATTTATGTGCTCATGCTTTCATATTTGATAGCTTAATGCAGTGAACAGGAAGCACAGGAATAAGTCGATATAACTCTTCGAAATTTGATCAAATTGCGTTTAATTATATAAAGGTAAATAAGATGATATCGAAATGATTGAAATCAAGTTCCAAATTTTGAAATTTGTTAATGATGAATTTTGTTACGAGATGCTAATACATAAGATTCTCAAAGCAAAGAGTAAGTCAAATTGGGAAAAATGTACAAGGGGAAAGGGTCTGATAAGTAACATTTAAACCAACCCGACAGTTAATCCTGATGTGACAGAAAGGCATCTGTGTATATAAAGAGGTACATACTATTAATTTTTGTTTAATGATTTAAAATATAAAATTGTAATATTATGCAGTAACATGTTTCAATAAAATTTACAAATTTTATATCTGCATTAAAATAGGTAAAGACACAAATAGAAATTCAAAAGTAGTACAGTAAAAAACATTACATTAATAACATTTAATTTTAAAGTTGAATTTTCACTTTAGTATTGGAATATTTTACAGTATATTTAATCTACATAGGTACTACATAATCTATGTAATATATTTATAAATGAATTTTGATTTTTTGATAAATAATATGAATTATAAATTTAAAAAAGTATACAGAAAATTTACAAAAGAAGATAACAAAAAATTGCTGAATAAACTGAAATATTCATTATGTCAAATATATAAAATTGTTATGACAATGTATACCTCTTATGTATAAACAAATACTGTCAGGTGCTATGGCATTGAAGAAAACAAATTGAATTACGGCCTTAGACCTAGTTGTGTATATAAAAGAAATGAAGGCAAGGACGATCCTTATCTGAGAGATAGTTGAATGTGTGGCATCGTTAGACACAAATTTTATATGAAAGAGATTTAAAAAAACATCAAAATAAACTCAATGCGTTAAAAGCCAATTTGTACATAATTATTTATTTGTTTTAACTTCCTTTTAAATTTTAGATTCTAAGTACAAGAATTTTTGTATTTTTATACATACATATATATATATATATTTCATTTTACAATTATATTTTATATTCAACTTAAGAATTTTCAAATAAATTTAATACAGTTTTAGAAATATTAAATATAAATATAAATAAGGCCAAAAATCTATCTGAATGTACATTAAGGTTACTAAGGATAATCTAATAATTATCTGATTCATATTGTAATCTATATATGTCAGTAACGTTATAACCAACATAACCTACAAAAATCAAAACTTTATGTAAAAAAGATATTAAACAAAATGTACTTTTTAATTTTTTAAGTCAAGTAAAATAGATAATTCATAATTCATAATGAAAACTCAAAATTGGAAAGACTTAGAGATTCCTTTAAGTGACTCTGTATTAAAAACAATTGAAGAATTAAAATTTCAATCTATGACACCCGTGCAGGTAAAATATTACAATAAAAATCATAAATTTATGACAAACATTAAATTTATATTTTTTTTATTATATAGTAATAAGTAATATTTATAATTCAAGATAATTATTAACACTGATCAAATAATTAACAATTCTTTTTAACTATATAGGCAGCATCTATACCACTACTATTAAAAGGAAAAGATGTTGCAGCAGAAGCAGTAACAGGGAGTGGGAAAACAATTGCTTTTTTAGTTCCATTATTAGAAATATTACAGGTATCACACAATTTTATACATTATAGTTAACCTTTTCTTAGTTGGTAGTTATTCATTTTGAATAAAAAGGTATGCATTATGTTACTTTTTTAAATTTAAAATAGAAAAGGAAAGAAAAGTGGAAACCTACAGAAATTGGAGCAATAATAATTAGTCCCACAAGAGAATTAGCTGTACAAATAAATGAAGTTTTGCAAAAGTTTCTAGATAATATACCAGACTTAAAACAAGTATTACTTGTTGGTGGTACAACAGTTGCACAAGACATAAACAAACTTAAAACAGGAGCAAATATTATTGTAGCAACACCTGGTAGATTGGAAGATATATTGTGTAACTGTAAACAAATTAACTTTGCAGCATGTGTAAAGTCTTTGGTAATTAATTTTTAAGTACCTAAAAGCTTTTGTGATAAGATATTTCTATAATTAATTTTTAATAATGTAACCTGTAGGAAATATTGATCTTAGATGAAGCTGATAGATTATTAGATCTAGGTTTTTCGATAGCACTGAATACGATATTAGGTCATTTACCACGTCTTAGAAGGACTGGTCTATTTTCTGCAACTCAAACAAAAGAGTTGCAGCAATTAATAAGAGCTGGACTTAGAAATCCAGCTCTAATAACTGTTAAAGAGAAACCAAATATTTCGACTCCATCAAATCTAAAAAATAATTATGTCATTACAAGTGCCCAATATAAATTATCTGTAATGATAAATTTTATTCAACATAAAGGAATTAATTTAAAATATATGATTTTTTTGTCTACTTGCGCATGTGTTGATTATTTCAGTCATGTCATTCAAGTGTAAGTTATACTATAAAGCATTTAAAACATGTGTCAAAAGAAATCTTATAACATATTTTTGTTTTAGAATGTTGCCATCTGTTCAAGTACTTGCAATACATGGTAAAATGAAAAACAAGCGATATAAAGTATTTAATGAATTTCGATTAATCAAAAGTGGTATTTTAGTTTGCACAGATGTCATGGCTCGTGGTATTGATATATCAGAAGTGGATTGGGTATTGCAATATGATCCTCCTTGTTCGGCTAGTAGTTTTGTTCATAGGTGAGAATAGATTTAATTTTCAAATATCTTATCATTTGTAATTTTATTGTAACTTACTTTAAATGTAATTAGTTTAATTTGTTTTAGATGTGGTAGGACTGCTAGATTTGGTAATGAAGGAAATGCATTATTATTCCTCTTAGAAACAGAAGATGCATATGTAAATTTTATAAAAAAAAATCAAAAAGTAGAGTTACAAGAAATAATTATGAAACCATCCACAATTTCATATGAGAATTGTTTAAAATGTATGAGAGATTTACAAAAACAAGATCGACTTTTTTTTGACAAAGCTAATAGAGCATTTGTATCATATATTCAAGCATACAATAAACATGAATGTAATTTAATATTAAGACTGAAAGATATTGATTTAGGAAAACTAGCATTGAGTTTTGGTTTACTGCGAATACCTCGTATGCCTGAACTTAAAGGAAGAGATACATCACTTTTTCAAGAAGAAGATATCGATATCAATATAATTACATATTCAGACAAACAAAAAGAAAAATGTCGTTTAGAAAAATTAAAGATTTTTCAAAATACTGGGATATGGCCAAAAGTACAGAAACGTAAACGCAAACAAACTGAACCTTGGTCTGAAGCCAAAAAGAAGAAATTAGAAAAGCAAGAAAATCGTAAGAAGCGGAAAGAAAAGAAGCTAAAGCAGCAGATGTCAGTAAACTCAATGAAAAAACATAAAAAGAAGATAAATGAACAAGACCTTGAAGATCTAGCGAAAGATATAGCATTAATTAAGAAATTAAAAAAGAAGAAGGTATTATTAACATAATTCTCAAAATAAAAATATATTTATAATAAATATTTACATATATCTCTAAATGAAGGTAATTATTTCAGATTTCACAGGAAGAGTTTGATGCCGCTTTTGGAATTGATTGAGAAGATCAATGAATATAGTATAGAGTATATTATATATAATTTATTTTGTACATTTATATACGTAAGTTACTATCAACTATAAAATAAGAAGGTAATCAATGCATGTTGCTTATATTTAAATAAACTTAACTGTTTATTCTATGAAATTTATTATTTAATTTATAAACAAGAAACATTGAGTTGAATATTTAAAATATTTGCATTCTTTCCACATGTATTATACTTATTAACATGAGTAATACTCAGATCACAATAAATCATTGTTGAAATACGTTTCTTAATTTTTTTTTATAATTATATATTTTTCATAAAAATTGAAGTTAGTCTAATTCATAAACAAATACTTCTCCAGAATGCCAGAAAGGATGTTTAGTAAAATTGAGTCTTTATAGGATGATAACATTTGCTTTGTATCGTGAAAATGCGTGATATATAGTATATGTATATATGAAATCTTTTTGAAGGATTTCAGTATGTGTGTGGACTCTACTCAGCATCGAGTATAGTAGAAGGGGAAAATATAAGTACTGGTCTTTGGTAAGCCATAGTGATGAGTCACACATTTGTGCAAGTGTCAAGTGGCTGTAAGAGATAATTTTTGTAATTTAATGCTTTTATTCCATACAATTTTTATAATAAATATTAAAATAAAAGAGGATTGATTAAACATGAATGATACAGATATAAGCGATCGCCCGAAATGGTTGTTAGAATTGGAAAATCGAAAACGAAAGGTGAAAATTTTAAGAGGCGTTTTTAAAATATATTTAAGTTATTTTTTTTACTTTCTTGCAATACCGTAATATTAGCATTTATCATTTATTTTTTTATAACTATGAAAAGTAATGTAACTATTAAATTTTAAAGTTTTAATAAATTTTGTTTCAATTTATCAGTTGTAATAATTAAAATTGTAATTCTTTAAAAATTATATACATTTAAAAAAAATTTATTATGTTTGAGAATTTTTAAATCATAATTATTTTATTCAGCCCCGATTAGCACATGAAGCTGGAGCAGGAGCACCTTGTGTTCTTTGTAAAGCAGCATGTCCAGGTTTGGATTTACATTTTTGGAGAAAAATTTGCAAAAATTGTAAATGCAGTAAAGATGACCATGATGTTGATGATGATGATTTTCCACAATTTGATTTATTATTTGGCACCTCAAAAAGATATAAAAAGAAATCCATATGTAAATATCATTGATATTAAAATAATATATGAAATTAATATTATATATATTGGATTATATCTTTTTCTTAAAATTTTTTTAGTATTACATATAAATGGTGGGAAAGAACATGTAGGAGAAGCATTTGAATGGATACCACCAGATACAACAAAAGAACTTGCAGTAGATTATATGAAAGCTTTGCCTATTGAAAAGTTACCTATTAAAGGATCACCGGGTGCAGCTCTGAGAAGACAATTATTACAAAAACAATTACCTCTTCATGATGTAGATTATAAAACTTGTGATAAATTAAGTGATCAAGAGAAAAAACAATTTGAGAAATATTTAGAAAATATAAAAAAATATGTAGGACAGGGAACAGTAACAAAGGTAAGTTATTATAGCAAGTATTTAATTATTAATTAAATTATATTTAATAAATTATATAATTATTTATTTATTTTATATATATTTATGTTTATACTATAGATATTAAGTGCTCGTCCATTTGATGGATCATTGGTAACACCCGTGAATGCAACTGATATGCAACATTTTAGTCCACAAAACAAACCTAATGTATCATCAAATTTTGTGCAATTACGTACACCAAGTAGTTTTGCTCCAAAAAGTTCATATAAAAAGAATTTATATGAAAATATAAATGTACATGAGTTTCCTGCTCCTTTAGAGAGATTGAGTAATTATAATGATATTAAGAATATTCCAATTTTTGAGAAATATAATATAATTAGTAATGATGGTGAAATTATTGAAAGTACTAATCAAAATATTGCAAAAAATAGTTCAAAAACTGTAAACTTAAAATATTCAAATGATGCACCAATCACAAACATCAATTCTGAAGTATCATTACCTTGGAGTTCATCAGAAGGTTATAAAGAAGCACAAAAAGATATGTTGAAAAGTCCACTTAGCTCTGTGTCGTATTCAAAACCAATCAATGATGATATTGTTGAAGCTATGTTAGCAGATGCTTTACTACCTCCTAGTACAGTACATGCAAATGATATAATTAGAAGTACATTAGATGAAAAAAGTCTAATGTATATACGTGAAAAACTCACAAATAAATATAGCAATCAAGAAAATCAAGGACAAATACCATCCATTACCCCTAATTTTTCAAGAAGTTTAAAACCAAAGAACTCGTTATGCAGAAATACTGGGTTTGGATCACAAAATGAAAATACTCCTATAAACATTAATAAGGGAACTAATAAAACAGGCATTATTACTTCCATAAAAAGTCCTGAAATGTTAATTTCAACAAAAGATAAAATTCAAAAAGTAAAAAGTGATTCTGATCCAATAAAAGCAGAAAAAGGAACAATGAAATCCAATTCAATATTAATTAAATCTGAACCTTTAGATTCTACAGAAACTTTTAACATAGAAAATTTAGGAGAAAGTAAATCATTAACTCCTTTAACAGTAGCAACAAATTCATTCTCTTCCCCAGCTTCATCGTCGCGAACATATTTACAAACTTCCAATACTAATAATTATCAAGCAAAGTTAAATAGTTTCACAACACCTTCTACCGTTATTTATTCCGAAAAATTGCAAAATCAAATTTTCCCTTATGAAACTGGTCCTACTGTGAAACAATCGGAACATATTCCTAATACAGAGCACCTTAAAAATATTATGGAAGAATTGACAATAGATTCTACAAAATTACAAAAGTGTCATAAATGTGAAGAAGTAATTTGTGTTGGTGATGTTGCTGTAATTACGGAGAAAGCTAAAAATGCAGTATGGCATCCAGGATGTTTTGTGTGTAATATGTGTAATGAATTACTAGTAGATTTAGTATATTTTTATTATAAAAACAAATTATACTGTGGCAGAGATTTAGCAACACTTTTAGGAATTCCTAGATGTTTCGCTTGTGATGAAGTAAGTACAGTATATTTAACCAAATCTTCAAAAAATATAAATGACTTTATGTCATAATAATAAATTTCTTTTTTTTTTATTTTTCAGCTTATCTTTGTGCGAGAATATACAGTTGCTGAAGGTCATAATTATCATGTCAAACATTTTTGTTGCTGGGACTGTGATGTTCCATTAGCTGGAAAACAATATATCACAGAAAATGATCGCCCATTATGTCTCTTGTGTTATCAAAAAACATATGCAAAAACGTGTAATATGTGTGAAAAGATAATTGCTGCAGACCAACAAGGTGTTGCTCTTAAAGATTTAAATTTTCATGCAACAGAGACTTGTTTCTGTTGTTATATTTGTCATAAAAACTTATTAAGTGGCAGATTTGCAGTTAAAGAAAAAAAAATATTTTGTAGTAAGGAATGCATTTCAAAATTTTTACATCCACAAATTAAGTAACAAACTAGTAAATGTGTTATTCCATTTTTAACATTTTTTCCCCCATTTTTTTTTTATATTTTCAATTATTTTTCATGAAACATAATGTATTATGTTAGCTTTAATTTTTTGTACATATTGTTAGTATAAAATGTATATCATTAAAAAGTAAACATTTTACACAATTGTGTATACAAAAATATATTTTCACTAAGTATCTAAATCATTGTTTAACAAACATTCATTATATACTTATACTTATTACATTTTAAGCGATTATATCCTTCATTAAAAAATATAATATGTAAAACAATTTCAAATTTACTTTATTTCTATGTTAGAATATTTTATTACTGAAGATCCATAATATTTTATTAGCGTATTATTAAATTGAGCATAATTTAAATTGGTTTTGGAAAAAAGATATGCATTTTAGTAATACCTGTTTAGTATTAAATAAAAAAATGACCTACAAATTTTCAATGGAATTTTAAACAAATATAAATTATATTCGAAAATTACATATATTTTAGTATTATATTTTATATAAAATTTAATTCAGAGACATTGATTAATATCTAATTGAAACTCTGCAAACAATATATTTATTAAAAACTAAATTCTTTTATAAACTTTAAGGTAACACAATGTTCTATTATTTTGATTTCATTTTGTACAATTGTATAAAAACAAATTAACAAATTATTTTCAAATAAACATATGCAAAAGATATAAAACAAATTTAAATATATGAATTTTTTGTTATATAATAAGTTTGAAAGCAAATATTTCATTATAAAATGGATTTTTATATCATAATAAATAATTCTTAAAATAATTTTTTTGTATATGTCCTGTAAGTATTTCAAAATGTATTAAACAAAAATACTGTAATGCAATCTTATTTTTGATGCCTAATGTCACTGATTACCAATTTTTTCTAAACACGTGAGATATAAAGCTAAGCATGTGCAATTTTTGATAAAATAAATACAATATATATACTTACAATATTAAGGTAAGTAAACAAATAATATCAATGTTTTACAAACTTTTCGAATATTTGTTCAAAAGTTCATAACATTTCATTCTGAATCACTATCAACAACAGTCAAAACTCGTTTAAATGTATTGCGAGCTTCGCGATGTTTTGTAGGTGTTTCTGGTGTTTTTGTTAATTCTTTATTAAAATCCTTACTTCTTTGAGCACGTGTGACGCGTCCTGAAATTGTATTATTAAAATAATTATAATAACTAATAAATTTTACAAAATCACAAACCTTCTGAAATAATATTGCTTGTGTTTAATTCAGCAACATCCTTAAGTCTTTCATTTCTCTCTTTAGCTTTTTTACATTTTTCTACAGTTGGTCTGCCATTAATTCCATTTTTGATTAGTAATGTTTTAAGACAATTTATTTTTGCACTATTTGATGTACAATCAGCCCAAAGATCATTATAAGATTTTACATGTATTCCAGCAATTCTGATATATTTCTTCAATAACTGTATTTGTTTATTGTCTTCAGGCCTCTAGGAGAGCACAAAAGTATTATATTAAAAACATATATAAAATTTAATAACTAATATTAAAATATATTAAACTTACTGTACTCCTCTTTCTTTTCCTATCTTTAGAATCATCATCACTATCACTTTCATTTTCACTTTTGCTTCTTGTCGATTTTACATCAGATACATTTTCTTCTGACTTTAAATCTTCTGTTATATTAGAATTTTCATCTTCCCCATCTATATTTTCAATTTGTTTCTTAATTCCTTTTTTTACTCTGCCACGTCCTTTTTTTGATTCTGTGGGTGATTTTGTAGACTTTTTATTTGTCATTGTTTTTTTAAGTCTCTTTTTAGTTCTTGGACTATAATCTTCATCTGAAACATCATCATTATTTTCTTCAGAATCTGTATTTTTTGTTTTACTGAAGGATGTTCTACCCTTTTTTCTTCCTTTCCTTGTAGTTTGTTTAGATTTAACTTCAAATGTATCTTGTGAATCTGATTTATCTGCTTCAGAAGAACTAACATCAAGTTCTGAATCATTAGGTTTTGCTTTAACAATTATAGTTTTTGGCATAAATTGTTTATCTTTTCCTTCTTCACTTTCAGAAGAACTTGAAGATTCTTTATCACTGGCACATTCTACTGAAAGTTCTAAACCTTCTACTACTTCAGCATCCTCACTTTGAAGCTTTTTATTCTTCTTTTTTGTCTTAGCAGAATCATCTTCTTCTTGTACTTCTGCTTTTGCTTCTTCTATTATATTTTCTTCATTAGAATTTGTAACAGATTCTGCATCTATGCTCTCCTTTTCCATAAAAATAAACATAAGACCATTAAAATGTAATATTTTAAATATCAATATATATAACAATAACACGTATGTATATAATTAATGATATACATAATTAAATAATATATATAACTGACAAAATTGGAAAAAAAATATTTGAGAGAGAGACGGAGGACGGAGAGGAAGAGAGGGGAGAGGAGGGAAGAGGGGAAGAGAGAGAGAGAGAGAGAGAGAGGAGAGAGAGAGTTTAATACAGTTAAAATTATAGTTCAAATATATAAGTTATTACCTGCTGATTTGTATCTGTTAAAATATTAAACTCATTTTCTTTTTTAATTGCTACTTCATTATTTTTAATGTCAGATATTTCAACAACTGACTCTTTTGCAATTTCATGTATAGTTTTCACTAACATTTTATTATCAGTACTTATATCTTTTGAATTATCTTTTACTTTTTCTGTAATACCATTTACTTCTACGGTATTTTCCAAGTTGTGTTTTTCAGATACTGTTTCATCAACAGATGTACATAATTTTTTAGAAGGTAAATCTAATTTTTCATCTTCTGAGGTTTCTTCTCGTAATCTTTTTTGTCCAAGTTCATTTGTGTTCACAGAATCATCCGACACTTCTAAAGGTGGCATTTCATCTTGTATTTCTTTGTCACTTTGATCAAATTCAATCATTATTTATAAATTTACCTAAAATTTTTTGATGTTTAAATATTGCATATAAATGAAATAAAAATAAAATATTTAATAATAATAAAATTATAGGGCATTATTCTTTTGTAGTAATACATTTACAATTTACTTTATTTGATAATATGGTGACAATTGATTTAATGAACAACATAAGATATATTGTTTGAATAATTCTCATAATTTCAACCACTTTTATTTGTAATTTGTTTTATTTGAATATTAATAAATATTTAATGATATTAATAGTGCAACGCCAACTACATACGTATAGTAATAAAAATTAACAATGAATGTATTATATTCTATAAAGGAAATCTCATAAATTTATTAATTGTTGAAATATTAAAAATCACTCTCTGCAAAACTTGCTATCATGAAATATATTATGTTTTAATATCTCACTCTTGCAATAGAAAAAATAACTGAAATAATGAGAAATAACACTTAACTTACAACGTCAAGATTATTAAGATATTTAACTAATTATTCTACGAATAAGGATCGTAACGTTTGCGCGGCAAAATCTACGCGGTAACTACGTAGTCGCTATTGATTGGTTAAATTATGTATAGTATAGTACTATCATACATTATGAGAAAAATTTCATATATTAATTTTTGAAACTATATGTTATAAGTATTTGCAGTATTTTGTATATATGAATTATAAATTACATTCAATTGAAAAAAATTATTTGAAAAACTAAAAATATAAGAAATCTCTAAAACTTTGCATTTTAAAAATTATTATTTTTATAAATTTTTATTATATATTTCTATTTTTTTAATACATTATATTATAGTTACGTTTATTTATATTTTAAACTTCTTTAAACTGTAATTTTATAATATAAATACAACTACTATTTACATCACTAAATTGATGCACTAAACATATACTATATTGCATCAGGTTGTGATACAATATTTTTGTACAAATATAGATGTAGTTATATATAATGTTGCAAGTAATACACTTACGTAAAATATACTTGAATTGATATATTTAATTAGCATTTGTTTTATTCTGACGTGATATGCCTATTCACATTAAGTAAGTACAAAACTGAATCACCATTCCTATGTGTGTTCTATAGCGTACTTATATACATATATGTGCACTGTTGCATTTATAGATAATGAAGCACAAAAGACATAAGGATAAATCTAAACAGGAAAGAAAAAAATTGAAAAAAAAAGAAAAAAGAAGGCATAAAAATAGGAGGTGTAATGAATCTAATTCGAGCAGTGTAAATATTAAATATTATTGTAAATCTTTATATTTACTATTTTGCATTTTAACCTTATCACATATTTTTATTATTTTTCTTGTGTCTAACCGCAAAAAAATTCAACTTTAGAGCTCAAGCGAAGAAAAACAAGAATTAATAAAAAAACCAATAATTGAATTTACATCTGAAGAACAAAATACACCTGTCACATCCAGCAAACAAGAACATTCCAAAAGAGAAGATTGGATGAACATGAAAAGTATATTTCCATGTGTATTTAATGAAAAAAAACCAAAATCTCTTAATTTAAAAAATACTAAACCTGAGCTGGATCAGTTGGGTCAAAGTGACAGAGAATTAAACCCATATTGGAAAAATGGGGGTAATGGTCTTCCTGAAGAAAATTCAACAAAGACAAAACAAACAATGGATATTAATTGGTTAAAAAAAGGTCTTCAACGTGCAAAGGAACAAGCAGAAAGTCAGAATAGAAATCTGGAAGAAATTGTAATTGAGAGATGGGGTGTAAATATGAATTATTTATATAAATTATAAATTTAAAATATATAAATTATATTAATATCACATTAATTTTTATAGCATTCAGAAGTGATACAATCCATGGTAACTCAAGTGAAAGATACATCAACAAAAGATCTATCTAAATCTAAAAATCGATTTAATAATATTGAAAAATATGAAAATAGTAGACAGTCTTTGTATTCTATTGAAAGTAATCAATATAAAACGTGTAATAATTCACAATATGAAAATGATCAAAAACAAAGATATTTAAAATCAGTGAATGATGATTGTTTCGATAATTCTTCATACAAAATAAATCACTTTGGTAAAAAGAATTGGGTAAAGTGCAAAATATCAGGTAAACTTGAAGAAGATTTATCAAATTCAAATATGTCTATATTGAAAAGCAGTTCCACTGGAACAAATGACACAGAGCTTACAGAAATTAAACCTTTGACTGAAGCAGAAATGAATAGATTGGGTGCAAAAATTGTTAAAGCTGAAATAATGGGTAATATTGTACGTTTTTCTAAATGTTATCTTTACATTAAATACGTGAGACATTAAAAAAATATGAAAATTCATAATATTTTCTATAGAAACTCGCCAATGAATTAAAAATTCAATTAAAAAGAGCTAGAGAAATTACAAAAAGTACTAAATCATGCAGCACAGATCAGGTCCAAAATATAATTCTTACACAAACTGATATAAAAGGTATGCATTTTACATAAAAAATTCATTGAATTTGGAATAAATAACTCATAAAAACTTGGTTACATATAATAGGTATTACAAGACCATTAGAACCAAGAAATAATCTTATGGAATCTTCACAAAGTATTAAACGGAAGAGTATGGAGACATATGTTTCCGGAAAGAAAGTGCGGCATTATTTTGATGATGATAAATATTCACTGCAAAGATTAGTAAGTCTTTAGAAATAAAACCGCTACAAATAATATTAAATATGAATGATGCTATTATTTTTTTTCAGTTTCAGAAAGAAAAGGGAAGATCTACAAATGAAGATGATGCAGCATTTCTTAAGGTTGCTTGTAAGGTATGTTACATAAATATTAAAAAATATTGTAGTATAATAAATATGTAAAATAATTTGTAGAATGTTGATATGGATGAGATATTTGAAGAACATATTACTCATATTAAGTCAGATGCAAAACAAAATGAAAAAGATCGCTTACTTGCTATTAAGGAAGATAAACATTTTTCAAAATGTTTGGATAATTGTAATTGGTGTATTGATTCCAAATATATGTTGAAACATATGATCGTTACAATGGATTCTGAAATATGTTTAAGTCTTCCACGACACACATCTCTAACTGTTGGACATTGTATAATAACACCTATATATCATATTGCTTGCCAATTACAATTAGATGAAAATGTTTGGGAAAAATTAAAGGTAAAATATTTGTTTTATATTGTTAGCTAATAATATAACCTTTTTTCATATTATTAATGATAATTATATTAAATATTTTATATTATTTTATTTTTAGATGTTTAAACGAGCTTTATATAAAATGTTCATAGATCAAAATCAATATCCAGTGTTTTACGAAATTTACAAGAATCGTAACAAATTTTCACATATGCAGTTAGAATGTGTTCCCCTAACAAAAGAAATTGGTGAATTAGCACCAATATATTTTAAGGTAAATGTATATCTAAAAAAACATACATTTGAATAGAATCAAATAACATTTAATTTTGTATTTGATGTTTTTAACAGAAAGCTTTATTAGAATGTGAAACAGAATGGTCAATGAATAAAAAAGTGATTGATCTTGAACATAAAAATGTACGTCAAGCTGTTCCAAATGGTCTATCATATTTTATGGTAGAATTTGAAACAAATAAAGGTTATGCTCATATTATCGAGGACGAGCATATGTTTCCAAAAAATTTTGCAGAGGTAACTTTTCTTTTTAATATACAAACAAATAAGTATTTCGGAAAAAAGTTATTTATTTTGGCACACATTATTTATTGTAGGAAATTATAGGTGGCATGTTAGATCTAAATCATGATATATGGAGGAAACCAAGAAAAGAAAATCTAGATCAGCAACGTGAAAAAGTCTTAAAATTTTCAGAAATATGGAAAAAGTATGAATTTGAAATAAAAAATTATAATTAAATATTTTCATATGTAAATGCAATTTTTGCAAATACATCATCTTTCAATAAAAATTTTAATATGGATAAAGTTTTATTTATATTATTTATTACTCTTAAATGTATAAATATATACAATAAGCATTAACATAAGAATATATAATATAATATCTCATTTGAATACTTATATTTCTTAAAAACCTGCAACTGGTACTTTCCTAAAATATTCCTTTAAAATAGACGGAAACAGTGATAAAACTTTAAAACGAGTTCCCATCTTATTTTCATCCATTATCATATGGTATCCAGATTTTAAGGATTCTATTTCTTCTTTGGGAACATTTTGTAAAAGTATTTGCAATCTTACATTAATTCCAAGATTTTGTAAAAAGCTTGCTTGGGTCACTGGTCCAAAAGTTATTAGTCTATTATTTTTTTCTGCAATTTTCTTGATAGCTGCAAAATCAACATCTGCTGTCAAATCTACACTTCCTGGATGTAATAATGGATCATGTACTTTATGTTGAGAAAATCCACGGAAAGTGTCAGTTTTGTCACCATTATGACCATAATCACAAATTAAAGCAAATCCACCACATTCCCACAAAAAATCTGCTATATGATCTACTATTACCAAACTTTCTGGGCTAATTTCAACATGTTCTCTTCTTTCATCAGCCTAAAAATCATTAATTAAATATAAAAATTTACTTATTAATTTATTTTTTAGAAGAAAATATAAATTATATTACTGATATATAAAAAGTAGCAGGAGTTGATGTTTTTGATAACACATAACAAAATTTCTCTTCATTACTTCCTTGAATTATGTCTACCAAAACTTCACTCCATCCTCTGTTAGTTTTCTAAATGTGAAATTATCATATTCGCATAAAACAAATTAATAAATTATTTTTAAATATTGATTATGGTTTATATACCTGAAATTTGTGAATTGGTAATGCATCAAAGAATTCATGTGCTAAAAATATACTAAAATTTTTAGGCACATCTTTAACAGAATAGTACCAATATAATTTTACTCCGTCTTCTGTAATACCCTCTTTATAGTATGTGACTGGATTATGTTTGTATTCACTTACTTTTGTATTATGTTCTATAATTGTTTTACATAAATTCTTTGCCTGAATTTGTGATAGAATAGGACTAATTTCTATCAAATGTATTGATATATCATTTAGAGATCTAAATTGTTTAAACACCTAGATAGTAAAGATCTATTTATAAAATAAATTTTTAAATTTCAGATTGAATACTAAAGGCATACCCGTAATATATCTTTAATTAAAGTTCCTCTACCTGGACCGAGCTCAACAATCTGAAGAGAATCCTTTGAAATTTTTTGCCATTCATATTTCATCCAAACAGCTATCATCTAAAAAATAAATAATTAAAATATAAATAAAAACTTTATATTAAAGCAATATAATTTAAATGCATGTTTATTTATAAATGAAGAAGATACACATACTTCCCCAAATAATTGAGTAATTTCTGGTGATGTTATAAAATCACCTTGTTTTCCAAAAACATCTTTATGCATGTAGTATCCTAGAGTTGGATGAGTTAAAACTTCTTTCATGTAATCATGAACTGTAATAGGTCCACAAGCTAAAATTTTTGAGTATAAATAACGATAAAGACTTTGTGATTTTTTTTCATTTAATGTTGAAAAATTATTTAATGAATAAAACAGATGACTTTTTTGATAGCTTTTTGTATTAAATAGTTTGTAATATTTAATATATTTCTCAAATATTCGAAATATAATCATATTATTAACACTTTAAACAATGGCTTAAAAGTACTACAAATTTATAGGTTACAATTATATATTATTGACTAAAAATTATTTATTTATTTATTTTCAGGTACAATTAAAATATATAGTGATTCTATAAATTATTAAGTTTTTATTCAATCGTTTTTAATTAAATATTCATTTATACATTTTATTTAAATATTAGGTACGCATATAAATTAATTCCTTCAACAAATTATATGTGTATTCAATAGATGGCAGCAAATATTCTAAGTTTGTTTTTATGTCTCAAAAGAAAAGTGAAAATAAATTACTTTATATATTAGTTTCACAATTAATAGCTTAAAATATTAAATAAAAGTGTTAATAATTAGTTTTTTAATAAATATAATGTTTACAGTGAAATATTTAAATCAATAATCTATAGTGATACTTTCTCCTGTTTTAATAATATTAATCTAGATCGTTGATAAATATAAACGACTAGAATAAAATTCAACAATGTACCATATTATAGGAAATAAATGGATACGAAGATGAAATTTCAAAAATCTTTACCACCATTAGTTGAAGGCAAAATTCATGGTTATTTAAAACTTGTTATAGATGAAATTATTTGGTCAAAAAAAAATTTTGGTGAGATTAGAGTATTTGTATCTTGGTGGGGTGAAACGGATAGAGTTGAATTTAGGTAAAATATTCGTAATTTTCTAATTAAGATAACTTCTTTTAAAGAATTTAAATATTAATAATTAGAAATTAAAATTAATTTTTTAACTCAAATTAAACTATTTCTTTCTATTTACTTTATATTATGATGTTTTTCTATATTGTTAATTGAATAGTTTAACTCTTTTTAGTTTCATGCTTTGTTATACATATTTTAAAATATATATTTTTTCTATAGACCAACAGACATTACAAAGGATGTTATAAAAGCAGAACAGGAAACAACTGAAATTTATGCTATTCGTACAAATATAAATCTCTTTGAAGAATATATTAAAAATTGTGAATTTGTAGAATTAGTGGTTGTTAGTAAAGAAACAAATACAATTATAGGAACATCTCGAATTATAGATTTAATAGAAGTATTTAAAAATAAGCCATATTTTAGATATGTACCAATAATAACTAATAATGGAAGTAAAATAGGGGAAATTCATATTTCTATGAAATTGGAATATATGACAAAATCTTTTAATATGCAATTAAAAGCACATAGATGCGAAAAAAAACAAACTACCGATAATACGTTTTCAACTAGTTATAGTTTTAAGAGTCAGGATGATATCAAAGCTGATAGATGTTCCATTAATAAAAAAATAAAACCAGAAGAAAGTGAAACTTATAAATCTATTTTAAAATTAAGAAGAGCAGAATTTCAAGAACCTATAAATAAATTTAATAATGAAATAGCAGATAAACTTGTTGCTCAGATTATTAAAAGAGCTCAAAAACTTAGAGGAGCTTTATTTAAAGAAACATATGATAAAGATGAATTGATTTTTAGTGATAATTCAGTCAATAATGGAATACAATCTCATTTCTCTGCTAAGGATGAAACAAAATTACATGAATGCCTTTTAAGTAAAGATCAGATATCTTCCAATGAAAGTAAAACATGTACATTAAGGACAACATATTTAAATCCAAATATGATGGATTTATCACTCTCATCTAATGATATAGAAGTCTCTAAATATGATAACAAGGGTACATCAAATGATATATCTTCTTTAAAAATGAATTCTTTAATAGAAGATACTCTTTTAGAAAAAAAAATGTGTATTAATTCAAGAGGTTTATTAACTACTTAACAAAACCATTAATGTATTTTAAATTTCACTGTACTTATAAAAATTATGTTCTATTTCAGATACTAAACTATTTGATCTTGTTACTTATATTCAAATTAACATAGAATCATTTACTTTAAGTCCTGCTGGTTATAGACGTGTAAAGTCTTCTTCATTATCACGTGTGTAAATTTATGAAGTTTAGAAATATGTGATATATTGAATTATTAAGAGTATATTTTTAGTATATATAGAGTATATATTTTTTTATAGATAATGATAACATTTTTTCATCTGCAACATATTTTGTTCAGTATGATATGACATTTGAACAAAGTAAGGAAATTGAAAAAAAGTGTTGGAAGGAAAGTAAGCCTGTAAGAATAAGTTCTACAAAACAAATAAACAAAGGTATATATATATATATATATATTTATAATATATACTAACATATGCTATATTTGTAATACATCTTAATATATGTTTAAAACTAATTAATATATCTTTACAGTGATTTATTTTAATCATAGTAATACGTATAAAATATCAAAACTGAAGCCTAATACAGAACTGTATATAAAATTTAAAATATTTGTTCGCCATTTTAATAAAAAGTTACTAATTGAATTAGGCAATGCTACTATTTATGTTAATAATATTATAAAAAATGAAAATTGGAAAGTTACACAACACTTAAATATAGTCAATAAAGATATAAAAATAGGCGAATTAAATGTAACTATACAATTAGGTTCAGAATCTAGTCATTGTGAAAAGCAATACATTGGTAAGCATATATGAAATACATAATGAATACTACATATTCATGCTAAAGCATTAGTTGGACTATATCTGTTTAGATAGCATAATGTTTGCTAAAGAAAATATTCCCATTTTGGATACACATCAGTTATTAAATGAAACTAAAAGTAAGAAGTCTAAGAGCATTACAGAAAGTCAGTCTAAAACAAATAGTGAAGTACCATCAATTTCAAATAATGTAGCAAATTATTTAAATACTAATAGTGATTTAGTTACTAAAGGAAGCATATCAGAGTTCACAATAGAAAATATAGATGATAAAAAGATGGATATAAAAAATTATAAACATAGAATACAGGATAAGGTATAAAAATATGATATATATTATGAATGTGTATTAATTAATTATCATTAATAATGATATAATTATTCTTCAGGTTTTACTTCATGGTTTAATACATGTGACTGAAGGGCAAGAGCTTCCTGAGTTAAATACATACTTAATATGTAGAGCATTTTGGAGAGAAGATAAAACTAGAAGTCAAATTTGTAATAATACAGAAAATCCATTTTACCAATTTTGTCAAGTAAATATTTTATTTTATTATATTCAGAGTGTGTGTGTGTGTGTGTGCGCGCGCGCGCGCGTGTGTGTACATAATATCTGTATATGTATATTTTATATTCCAGTTAGTACCTCTTATTTATGGTAATGATTTACTGGAACGCATTAAAGATAATTACATAATCATTGAAGTTTATTCTAGAAATAATAATATAGATAATCTACTAGGATTAACAAAATTATCTGTACATCAGTTATATGTTGCATATAGAGATCCACATATACTACCTTATTTGTTGTTGACTAAGGTATACCATTTTAAGTTAATATAATTGGTAATTATTTAATTGATATATTTTTACATAATTTAATATTTTAGTATCCTGTAGTGAGTGTGGATGGATGGGTACCAATTATAGATCCTGTAACTGGTCGGTCTTGTGGACAGTTACATGCATTGGTTGCTCTTGGAACTGCTGAACAAATTACATTATTAAAAATATCAAGAAATTTGCAAACTAATGGTATTATGTCATGCACAATGCATTTAGACAAATTTTCTGATTATGGAAAACATTCACAAAATATGCAGTTTCATAATACATGTGAATTGCAATTAAATAAAGAATTAATTTCACAAGATAATTCTCAAATACATGATACTAATGAAGTTGAAAGACAATTATTTTTTTCAAATTCAAAAACTCGAGAATGTCAAACAGATATCTCAACAGTTAATGAATTTAAGTGTAATGAAATATTGCAAGAAAAAACTTCAAATTTAGAACATTTTATTTTGCATAACACAGTTAGTCATTTAACTCAAGGTTTAAATGTTAACAAAATTAATATAGATCAAGAAACACAAACTGAAATAAACGTGACGGAAGAAGAACAAACGAATATAGAAGAGCAGATTTGTGCCAACGAATTGAACTTTAACAATAGTTCTAATGACAGCGATAATAGTAGCGTTAAGCACAATTTTTATTTACCGACAGAAACGTATAGGAGTGTCGGAGTTGGTGCTGAGTATAATGAAGAAATTGATCAACAACCAAATAGTGGTCACAGTAATACAACATTTGAGTTATCAACTATAATTCATGGAGAAAACGAATTAACAAATCCTACATGTAAACAAACAATGTTTAGAGCTCATGTCGAGATCGAGTGTGCATTACATTTGCCAAAAATAGAAAAAATTAATGAAACTATTAATCCAAGTACATATGTATCATTTCAGACTAATAAATGTGATTATACAAAATATTCAAATTCATACATGATTACTAATGTTTTTCCACATAGTTGTAATCCCAAGTGGAATTGGAAATGTGATACAGAATTACCAACAGAACTTCTTTTACATGTATGTTATTTTCTTGATTTATATGTAAGATTTTTCTATTTTTTTAAATATAATTTCAATCATATTTTCAGGATGAGAAGAGATTAATTTTAAAAATCTGGCGACTATTAGATACAGACATCAGTATGCAAATAAATTTAGAAAAAGATGTTGTTATTGGATTTTCTGCTATTGATCTCTCCATTTTGATCAGTGGCTTTGCAACAGTATCTGGTTGGTTTCATGTAATGGATTTCACTGGAAAATGCAATGGACAAATTAAAGTATTATTCAAATTTCATTTATATATGTTATTCTATTAACCTTTTTTGTAATTTATTATTTATATTTTAGGTATCTATAACACCATTAGATAATTTATCACTATTTGGTAAATCTATAACTTCTTTAAATACAGTCCGAGTTCCAAAATGTTCTATGCCTTGGGTCCCACTACATATTAATGAAACACATTCTTGCGTTATACAAGAAGAAGAAAAATCAGTACATAGTGAAAACTATTTAAATGATCCTATTACCCAAATTGGTTTTGAAGATATATCTATGTCATTTTTATCCTTATCTTTGAAGTAAGTAAATTTCATTTTTTTAATTTTGCAGTAAAATCTTTCTATAATTATTAGCATGATATTTATATCTTTTATAGACAAAAATTAACTGAATTGGATGAAATTACGAAACGTTTAAAATCGCGATTACATGATATTACAAATACGGCTTTTGAAGATGATTTAGAAAATGAATTTGAGTTAAATAATGATAATGAAAATAACGAGTGTAAAATTATTACTCCAATCGTATCCGTTGCCGCAATAGATTGTAATAATCGAATATATCATAGTACAAACACTAAGGAAAATGACAATCAAAATATATCGAATGAAAGGAAAAATTTTTTGTCTCAAACTTATGTTGCTTACAACAAAGCATTAAATTGTGAAATAATAAACCCTAATTCTTCTAAGATATTGGATTCATACAACAAACAAGATTTATCAAATAACAATATTGAAATACAGCAACAAAATCATGCAATACAAAATATTAAAACATTAGAAAATACTTTCACTGATTATCCTGAACAAGGAACAAAAGCACATATAAGTTATTTACTTGATAAACTATCTCTACAGTTTCCTGCACAACACTATTTGAATAAAGGTATGCCAATGAAAGAAAATATGACCAATTTATTAACAAATTCACTAAGTAACAGTAATTTACAAGATATTAATAAATGTAACCAAGAACTCAAAATGTCTACACTATCTACTCAAATGAATAATATATATGAGCAAAGTATAAAAATGTCGGAAAATCCTGCAATAGGTTACATAACTGAGACTAAAGAGATTGATGCATGTGATAGAAATTTATCTGATGTATCACAAATTGCTAATAAAGTGTCGACAGTAATTCGCGAAGAATTAATTGCTGAAGAAAGTAGCAATACCTCAAAATGCGACGAATTAACAACATATCTTGTAACTTCAAACATTCGTCATATGGATGTAAATAACATGTGTAATCCACTTTTATATCAACATTTAGTGCCTGATTTACATTATTCACATACATTATCAGAAGAAGAAACTATTAAACAATTAGATAATCGATATAATAAAGTCTTTAGTACATCAATAAGTAACAGATTAAATAAAATACATAGTTTAGTAGAAACTAATGTGTGTTCAGAAAATACTGAACATTTTCAAAGAATGACACCATCTGGATTGTCAGAAAATATTGATGATAATATTGATGTAACTGTTCTTCATAACACCAATTACAATGATCTAGTAACAAGTACAGAATCAACTACAACTATTTCAATTGAAAATTCATTGGTAAAATCGATTGAGTCAGAAGCAGTTGGAAATGGTGACCCTATATCTACTGAAACTTCTATTCTTGTACTTTCAAGGCAAGCCCCTGATGGTGGTAACCCTATAGAAGATAATAGAAAATCGTTAGTTAAACATCAGGAAGATAAAATTCTCAACTCTTGAACAAGTACTTATAACTAATATGTAATACATTTATTATATCGATAAATATAATTATAAATTGCAGCTACAAGCATATATTTTGACTATATTTTCCTTATTGCACATAGCAAGTAAGTATAAAAATTAATTTTTTAGTACATTTACTGAAATAAAAGTAGATGTATGTAAACTGCTTAAACTTTATATATAGTTTTTTATTTTATAGTATTTATATAAGTTCTAATTATTAACTAATATTTTACATGATTGATTTATTATGTTTGATACAGAAATAATGCCTAATACTAATTCATTAAGAAATAGTGACTATGTGGAATGACTATTGCACATATGAAATAGTAATATTAATACAGAAGTACATATTGTAATAATGTAGAATTTATTACTAATAGTAATAGATATATTACTTTGAATATGTGTTTTATACAAATATATAAAATTTAAATATTTTTTATATGCTTTTTATGTATATAAATAAAACTAAATATGTAATGGTAAAATATATAAATCGTTGATTATAAATTTAAAATATGTCAAATAAATATAGAAATTTTTTTTAATAAATAAGTATTTATTTGTAAGATATCAGAGGAGCAAATATTAAAATTAAATCTCACCTAATTTGTAAAATTTTTAAAATAAATTTTATCTTAACACAAATTATGGGATATAAATCAACTTATTCATTGAAATAAGCAGAGAGATAAGCTTCTCTGCGTATCCATTGAATAGCACTTGTAGGATGCATTAACCATATTTTTGCAGTTGTAGTTCCATGTTGATGCATAATTGAACAATCCCGTATTTTCTAACGTAAATATATAAATAAGTAAATAAGAATATATATGTATATACATTCATGTATATTATAATTATAATTTATCAAAATAAAATCTTACATCAAATTGTTCTAATTCCCTTCTTCTGAATTTTGTTTCTTCTTCATATTCTTTATCCATGCATGTCCTACATAAAAATATTTCATTTTTTAAATGCCAATAATCACCAATTGACTTCTTTCCACATATTTTACAGAAATCTGTGTTTCGACTACAACATTTAAGATCCGCTCCAAGTTTCATTTTCACTCTACCACCAAAACTATGTTCTGATGTAAAACCTCTTCTTTTAGTACTAACGTACATTCCTGGACTATATGCATTAAATGTTAGTTTATAATAAGTAGATTATTATTGTAACTATTCCAATTATATTACTATTATACCCAGGAATTGTATTGCTCATAAATGTTTGCCTTTTGCTGTTAGATTCAAATGGATATTTCGATTTATGTATTTGTTTAGGAAATGTTGAAATATTGTAATCTGATGGTGATGGATATTTATCTTTAACCACTAGTTTTTTACTGAACCTAGCAATACCACTGTAACCTTGCTTACTAATACTATGGGAACAAGGCTGAAACAAAATACATAACTTAAATTATATTCTACTTTGAAATATTTCAAATCTGTAATTAATTAGTGAAGTATGTCCAAAACAATTAATTATACCTTAGTTTTAATTGCTTTAAATGATTTCAAAACATTATATGAATTTGGTGCTATAGTTGGATAGTTTTCTAGTGTATAATATCTCATGAATGGACTCATACCCTTTGTTGAAATATCACGAGAGCATCCTGATCCAAAACATATTTTTTGTTGTTCTTGTTTTTGTATGACATATTTAAACCCTATTTACAGATAATTCTTTTTTAGCAAGCAGTATTTCAGGATAAACTTATTAATAGTTATATTGATATTTATATAGAATGTAATTTTAATTGTAAGAAATATACAATACTAATAAAATATATTTATACCTTCTTGATTAACTGTCATTGTTATACAAACATAGAATGTGTTTAGTACAAATGTCACAATTTCAAATTTATATCACCAAAATCAATGCTTATAGTAGGAACTTATATATTCCATTTATAGTCAAACAATGCTATATCAAATATCCCTAACACCTTGTAGTGTCTGACATGTGTGATACAGCAATATTTTATTAGTATTTTATCATTTTATTCATTAAATAATTTATCATAAGAGTAATTACTTGATCTTATAAAGTGAAAAACAGTCACATCATTTATAATATCAGTTTATTATTAAACAACATTTAACATTTCTAGTATTATTTATTATAGAAGTAAGTAATACTTGTTATTTTTTTAAATTGAAATTTATTTAACATTTTTTACATAAATTTTAATTTTATTATAATAAATTTCTTTGAAAATATTTACAGATTTCGTTTATAAATGAATTGTATAATACTTAATTGCAGTAAAAATAATATTAAGCTAGGATACAAAAAATTGCACATTACTAATATATTATAATGTTTGCACGAAATATTAATTCAGATTAAAATTATATTTATATACATATATAAATAAATAATTTTATATTTATGAATCACGTGAATAAGAAGAAACCAATCAGTGTACTGTAATTTACATTCTGTTCTATAAAATTAGAATAGAGGGCATCTTTTCTGTGTACATTTTTATTATGATGTATAAAACGTTATTTTTTCATGATAAGAAAATATATTTTGTATTTCTATTTATCTTAATTAACTGAAAATTTAAATTTATATAATACATTGAGTACTTGTACATATGTTCATGGATATATTTTGTAATTATTAAAATCTGGTATATTTCAGCGCCCTCATGTAACTACGCATGCTTATATTATATTGCACAGATATAAGTTACGCTGTTTGAGTCAAATTCATGACTTTTGTAGAAAAAAATATCATTATTTGTCATTTAAATTCGTATTAATAACACAGAATTAAAATAAATGAATATAGTATATAATTACATTTAAAATATTTATTCAAGTAAGAAAGAAAGGAGAAAGGAATGTCTTAATAACAGGAAGCGTTACAGAAGTTTAGTCGAACAACAGAGTGCGGTAGTCTTAGCAGGTCGATGGTGCTGTTCGTACCGACGGTTCGTTTGCAGCCGTCTTTGCTTCGCGATGCGTCCACCGATGTGTATTTCTGCACATGGCCGTGCCGCCCAACGGGCTTCTGCATTGTTCCACGATTTTTCGCACTTTACCACCGGTAAATGGACCTATTGTAGTTAGATTTACTATTCCAACGATTAAGAAATACGCGTTCTGTGCCTTGAACTATACAAAAAGCGTTTTTTGTGTCGATAACCATAATTAATGAATCAAAAAGTGAGTCTTGAGTAATATCGCATCAGTGTTTAGTTCGGGATGTAGATTTAGCATTTCTTCTGAATTTTCGAAGATCTTATTTTTTTTTAAACTACATTCGATTTTGCGTAACTTTATGTTATAAAATGTTATCAATAAAGATTTTTTTAAGTCATTACGTTGTAATGTAGCATTCAAGGACGCACAGTGACAAACAAATCTTAATTCCTATATATTAATACATCTTATCTAAAATTGTATAATTCGAATATGTTACGTTATTTTATACAAAAATTATGAAGATAAATAAAGTTACAAACATTTAGAATATCGAAAAGTTTAATGCTTTTAATTGTTTACTATTATAAAATTTCACTGTTATGTTAATTAAAATTTAATGACACTTTTCACAGGAATAATTTTTTTTAAGTATATAAATTTTCATTAAATACAATTACAGTTTAATTAAGGTAAAAAAATATAATTACGTATTATGTATAGTTTCTTTCAGTATTTTGTACAATAATTTATCTTAATTTTTGATTGAACAGGTTATTTATTTATACTGAAATTGTTACTTATAGTAATATTTATTTTTTAAATATTTATACAAATGAAATATTTTATAAAAATAAATTTTTTTTATGATATAACAAAATTTGAAGTAACATTGAAGTTTATAGAAATAATATTATTTTAAATCTAAAATAAAATTATTTATTTTTGAATATTCATGTTCATTTATAAAAAGTTATAAACTTATAAACATTGAAATATATAATTATTCTGATAATATATGTAAATATATATTGTAGATTGTATATTGTTTGTAGATATAACGTATTTATTTTTGGATATATTTTTTTAGGATTATATTTATCATTTTTAGAAGAATTATATTATACATTACATCCACCATGACTACATCATCAGAAGATGTTCTAATGCAAGTAGGACAAGTTCGTTATAAAAAAGGAGATGGCACTTTATATGTCATGAATGAAAGAATAGCCTGGATGCTTGATAACAGGGATACTGTATCAGTCAGTCACAAATATGCTGACATTAAGTGTAAGAACATTCGTGTAATGATCAAAATAATGTTCAATAAAAAGATTATTGAAGAAAACTCACTTTGCTATAAATTTACTACATTTTTTGTTTTTGATGTAATAACATTTTAATTATTCTATATGTTTATATTAACTTATATTAAATATATATTTATAGTTTAATTTGGTTTAAAAGAATAATATAATTGAAAAATGATAAAAAAGTGAGAATTATATTTAGTGATATTAAATATATTTTTTTTTTAAATTAATGTATTGTATTATATTATACTTTTTTTTATAGTACAAAAGATATCACCAGAAGGAAAATCAAAAATACAGTTACAAGTTGTACTACATGATGGTTCATCATCTACATTTCATTTCGTAAACAGAAATGGGCAAGAGGCACAAATTAAAGATCGAGATGATGTAAAAGAATTACTTCAACAACTATTACCAAAATTTAAAAGAAAAGTAAATAAAGAATTAGAAGAAAAAAATAGGTAAGATCTTCTACTTTATAGTAATTTCTTGTATTATTCATGCATTAAAGTATATTATAATATTTAATAGAATGCTTCAAGAAAATCCTGTACTGCTTCAATTGTACAGAGATTTAGTTATTACACAAGTTATTTCATCTGAAGAATTTTGGTCACAACATGCTGCAGAATATACCCAAGCTAAAAAAGGTCAAAGACAAGAAATAGGTGTAAATAGTGCTTTTCTGGTAAGAGCTTTTTATAATTGAAATATAAATTGATTGATAGATAGAGAAATAAAATTGACTGATAATTAAATATGTTATACATAGGCTGATATAAAACCACAAACTGATGGTTGTAATGGACTGAAATATAATTTAACTGTTGATATTATAGAATGTATATTTAAGACTTATCCAGCAGTAAAAAGAAAACATCAAGAAAATGTGCCTCATAAAATGTCAGAATCTGATTTTTGGACAAAATTCTTTCAATCACATTACTTTCATCGAGATCGTATCAATGCAGGGACCAAGGATCTTTTTACCGAATGTGCCAAAATAGATGATCAAGAACTGAAGAAAGATATTCAATCGGGTATTGATGATCCATTGGTGGATATAACTTCTTTTGAGGATCAAACATTAGATGAAAATTATGGAAATGGACCTAGTAAATCTGACAAAGTTTCAGGAAATATAGTACATCAGAGTATGATTAAGAGATTCAATCAACACAGCATCATGGTTTTAAAGGCTAGCACTGCCAAACAAACTACACAGTCCATTCAACCACAATTAAATGGATCAACACCATCAGCAAGTAAAACTTCAGCATTCTCTAATCAGTTAGATGAACGACCAAAGACTAAAAAAGTAAGCTTATAATGCAAATTATATTTATATGTAAAGTAACATTTAATAATATGTATATATTTTATTTTTAGCTTAGAATACAAGAGAAATTAATTTATGATGATCTCGATACCACTCATGATACAAAGACAAATAATAGTGCACCATTAAATTTGAATCATGTAGATAGGTATTTACATGGTCCAGTGCCAGGATATGGTAATACGGAACCGTCGTCTGAAGAACTTATTATGACATTAAATCAATTAAAAAAGGAAGCAGGTGGTTGGTTAACAGGAAATATTATACCAAGGCAATTAGCAACATCGTTAGTTAGTCCAGCTGCAGCGGTCTCAGCCTTAGGAGAATTGACTCCTGGTGGTTCTTTAATGAAAGGCTTTCGGGAAGAAAGTCTTGGACGTAAGTATATATTACTAATTATAAATTAAAGTGTTGAAAATATATCGTGTATCAATTATTTTAATTACAGAATTAATACCAAAGGATTTAGAAAAAGAATTACGTAATGTATATGTGTGTACATGTGAGCTTTTAAGGCATTTTTGGCGTAGTTTTCCACCTACAACTCCACAACTTGAGGAAAAAGCTATTAGAATGCACGAAGCGTTGCATAGATTTCACTCTGCCAAACTAAAACCTTTTGAAGTAAATTTTTTTAAAGTTCTAAAGTTTCTAGAGTTTATAAAATTCTATATATTTTACATATATTGATTTTTGTAATTTTTATGTCCTAAATATTTACTTTTCTAGGATCGTGTTCAACGAGACTTTTCTGCTGTTAGTCAACATTTGACAAGCCATTTAAATCAATTATTAAATACAGCATATAGAAAATTCGCAGTTTGGCAACAACGTAAGATGCAAATGAGGTAGCCATTGAATAATTTGTCGTACAATTAAAAACAACGTGAATAAAGCAGAGCAATATGGTCATCCTATATATATTGCATTTTATAATGTTACCGTAATTAGGGATTAATATGGGTGTATTTCACAAAAACCAAAGCTGAATCGTGTCATGCATCCTATGCTGCCACATACTGTTTATTTATTCTTACATAATCGTGTTTATTATTGTTTTAAAATTTTCATAAATATGTTATTTTAATTCATTTGTAAAAGATATTTCATTTCATTAATATTTTCATAATATAGCATATAGTTTATTTATTTACTTTTCATAGGTTATTATGTATCATGTTGCACGTCTTATATTAATCAATTGTTAACATCATGATGGAATTAAGGAAAAATTTTAAGAATTTAAATTCATAAAAAAAATATTATATGTAGAATAGAGAAGTTATAATATTTATAAAGTTTCAGAAAATATTATGATTACGTATGGAATGTCTAAAATTTATATAATTATGTAGACGAATGTATGTTAAGAGAAATATCTATTGTATGATATCAAAGTAGCTGTGATAACGCCACTGCATCATTAAGATTTATAAATAGGCAAATTTCATCATTTTGAATATTTATTTCTGCATAACAATCATTTTCTACTCATGTTAATAAATGTAGAACATTATATTTGATATGTCATAGTTATACAAATGAATGGCATGTTTTATACAATGCCTAAAAGAGTAATTTGTATAATGTAATTGCATTTTCAATGAAACAAAATTTTGTTACTCGGAAACTCATTAACTATTAATACACAGTGGCATCAGTATACTTTCTACGATATCTGCGATATACTCAACTAAGTGTCTTAATTGTTGAATCCTATTTTTTTTTACATTATTGAGTAAAGCAAGTTGCAACATGAGATTTCATATACTGCCTGCTCACTTTCCCTATAGTAGCAATAATTTGGCAGTTACTGAGACAAGTGATACCTAATTCAACCAGTAAAAAACTTGGCGATCATACTCGAAAATTACGCTATGATTATTATTATAATATCAATTATAAATATATTCTTACATTATCATTACAATAAATGTTATTATTATGAATGAGTACTGAATTAATAACATCCTATTAAATTACAAGCTTTCTTTATTAATACCATTGAATTTTTTAAATAGTAAAATTAGTAATTATATATCTATGTTAGATATTTTAATATGTTTATTTTATAAGTAATGAGATTGATTACAAATATTGTAGAAAAGTTAAAAGATTATACATAGATAGGCAAAAATATTCACTCCTACTTTCCTTGAAAAATCCCGCCTGTTGATTTCTTTCTGTAATTTATAGTCAATAGATGGCGCAGTTTATTGTTGATTTCGTTTAAAATGGCGGCCTGTAATGGGCACTGCGGGGTAATATTGTTCGATTCCCCGCGATAAATGAGCCCATGTGAAGTTAACTCGCCGCGGTGTGTGTGCGAGTACTGAGTCTAGGGTGTATCCGGAATGTACACTTTTCTTCGAATGGTTAAATCATGTGAGCGCAATCACAGTGCCAGCCGATCGTGTGTCGTGCATTGGCCAAGTGTGTGTAGCCATATTTATTGTGTTATTCGGCAAGACGTTATATCTTATACACCGGCAAATGTAATTGGTAGCCAAGACATATGGCTGTTTGTTATTAAAGGTAAAATCATAATTTCAACATTTACTTCTGGTAAAAAATGTGGCGATTTCATTATCCCTAATAAAAAGCGATTATACACATATAAAACATTTAAGGACCTTAGTACAATAGGATATGAAAAGACGCTACACTAAGTTCTCTTCGATTCTTCAAAAGCGGCACACATTTGTTGTTAGCTTTTTTTTAGACCACTGTATCTACAATTTCCAAACGGTGCAGGTCGTGCAATATATTAAAGCTCATATCTGGTTCTTTTGTTATCCTTGGTAGCACACATTGTGTTGTGTGGTGCATTAAGGATTTTATGAAAAAAGTGAGTATCTTTGTTATTAAATTGTAGATAATTATATGATATTGTAATTTTATTTTATTAATTTACATATTTATTTAATTGTAATTTCAAGTAAAGAAGTAAAAATTGTGATCACAAATTTGACAATATACATATCCATTGTTGTGATATATTATTTAACTACTTTATAATAGTGCATTAAAAAGTTTTAAAAGTGGTTTCATAAAATCTTCTGCATTATATTAACAGTATTTGTATAAGTGGTTTTATTCTTTCTGTCATAAGTTTTTTTTATTAGCAATATACTTAATTGCTAATTATAATATACTACCATATCATCATTCTAAATAACAAAAATTAAATAATTAGACTTCATCTTATATAATATTGATATATAAGATATTATAAATAAGTGTATACATTATTTATTTTATAATTCTTTGAAGTGTATAAAAAAGTCATATATTTTTTCAGAAAAAGATGGCAGAATTATTATATCATATTGTCAGCCCAAATTATTGGATGAAGATTTATAAACCATATATAGAGTGAAAAAGTTTTTGGTAGTTTTTTTCTATTTATATACAAGAAATGGACGTACAAAAATTTTGACAGAAAGTTGTGTTATGAATATCAGAAACTATATGTGTAATATTTGTACATACAAAAGCCTGCTATACGTGGACCAAGCAGGCTAGGCACTACTGTGCCAAGCTTGGGTAATGGATCCCGTTCGTCCATGGTATGCATCATATAATCGTCTTGCTGCAAGTAGTGCAACCAGTACATTTCAACCAACAACTTCAAGCACAAACAGTGATTTTGTATCTCATCATTTAGCAACAGCTGCTGGTCAAGCAGCTCCCTCAACAACATCACAATTACTTTTACAAGCAGCTCATACAACAGCAACTCTGGCGGGACAGCCATCTCCATTTAACCCTGGGGGGTGTCTATCTACACCCCCTGTGGGATATGATGTATTCTCACCTTTATTTCACCACCCTAATCCTAAACAAGCACATTATGTTACTCAACATAGACAAGCTCTTGCTCAAGCACAAGTGTCAGTAACAAAACAAAATACTACAACAGAGTCTGATATCCCTGTACTAAGAGAAAATTATAGTTCCACACATCAACCAATATTTTTTGAACATCAGGGTGCAGCAACATCTCCTACTACATCTACATTGGCTTGGACTCATCAGAACAACGCACAATTACCTAGCCCATTTGGTATATTGCCTCATGAAAGTGTTGTTCCTTCATCTCCAGGACCATCATCTACCACAAAACCAACAAGTGGTGTTTATGAAAATACATTTAATTCTCATTTTGCTACAACACAAACTATAAATAATTTAAATTCTCAACTAACTACCCCTTCTGTTTCTGCTGCTGAATTTAAATCATCCAATTTTCCAGATAGTAAAAACAAAATAAATGTAAGACCTCAATCACCAACAGTAAATGTCAAATCAGTAGTTTCTACGTCACAAACAAATAGCAATCAAAATTTTTTTCAACCAGTACCTACTACATTTAGTTCTGAAACATTAACAAATAATTATTCTACTGGTAATGGAAATCAAACACCCAATGGTAAGGTACAACCTCCTCTTCAGCATCAACAATCATGCATTGTTTCAACTACAAATAATGCAGCCAGTAAAGAGTATAGAATTCCACAACCACCTGCTAGATCAGTTGCATCAACAACAATATTTTTAAATACATCTGTTAGATCTGTATCTTCACAAGTTCAAGATAAACAATCTACTCGAAACTTTGCTTCACCTCCAAATAAAGCAACTTCTACATCTCAACAAAATATTCAAACTAAAGCACAGACAAAAATATATCCAGAATTAAATACACATAATAATGAACATAGACGAAATGAACAAACATCTCATGATAATACCCAATCATCTCCTATCAGTTTTTCTATTATGGATTCACGCAGTTTGAATTATACTGCCGGAAATAATACCAATTGTACAAATACCAGTGCAAAACTTAATAACAATCAAAGAACTCAATCAAATAGTAATTTACATGCTCATTCTCAACAATCACAACAGCAACAGCAGCAACAATTTCATGTTTTAAATCAACAACAACCACAGCAGCAAACATCATATAGACACTATCTAGGATCTACGGCTGATTCTGAATATCATCACTCGGGAAGATCAAAATCTGCAACTTCTACTGATTCTGCTTATTCTTCTAACAATTCGACACAAAATGGACCAGATTGTAGTGTTGTTGTACCAAGAAGACCAAGTCCATTGCAAGCACATTCACAAGCAAGTCCATTGGGACATGTTCCAAGCCCTGCTTATCCTATGTATAATAGCCCAATGGCTACAATATCTTCTCCTTCGCCTTTACAACAACATGCAGAAAACGGAAATCAATGTGCAAGTGGACCACCATATAAAGGAACTGTTCAACAACAAGTTACACCACAATCACCATTAGATGTTACAGTACCACGGCCAGCATCTCAAGGTCAAGTTGCTTATTCATCAGTTATCACAAGAGCTTTGGGTGCTGCTGAAAATAAAACCACCTATAATACAGATAGTAAAACTTATGACAGACAACAACAAGATTTTTCACAAACTCAGAAACAAATTTGTTGGGAGAATGATAATCGGCAACCAAATACTAATAGAAAATTTTCTGTTACTTTATATACTGGTGGAAATCCTGAAATAAATCCTCAAACCTTACCAGTTCAGCAACAAGTACAACGAGTACTAAATGTTTCTGATAGACAACAATCATATTTTGAGTCAAATCAAGTGACTTTACAAGACTTAAGTAGTTGTAGAGGAGATCCTATGAGTATAGTGAAGAATTTGCAGACTTTACAGCAAGGTTCTTGCCAAGTACAACAACAGCAACAACAACAACAACAACAAACTACTGTTCCTGTGGCTCCAACTGAACAACAAAAACAAGTAGAGGACCGACGCAAAGCAGATACTACAAATAAAAAAAGAAAGAGTTTAGAAAAAAGTGGACATAATTCTTTAAATGAAATAAGTGGAACAGCAACAACAATGACAGAATATTTAAGTAGGATACCACCACCTGCGCATCATAATACAAATCAGCAACAACAAAATGGTTATTTCGATTTTGAAAGATGGAATTTACCTCCACCCCCTACCAAAATGTTTCCTAGTGCATCAGGTGCTTTCAGTTCACAATCAACCTTGCATCATACAAATAATTTTGTTGGTACTCCAGCACATCAACATCAATCTTTGATGGTGCCACACCATCATGCTCCGCCTCCAATTCCATATCTCCCTCCTTTTCATATTCCACCAAGTCATCATCATTCACATGAATTTCAATCTTCTGTTGAAATTACTCCTATTGGTTTTGGTGAGAATACAACAAATCAAAATGCTAATTATAATCAAGAAATCAGAGATAATCAACCTAAAGTAATTGTTCCTAATATTGAAGAAGAACTAGGTTTTTTACAGCAAAATCAACAACCAATTCAAACTATGAGCACTTTAAGTAAAGATTTCAAACGATCTAATAAAGATCCTAATTCAGGATTTATGACAAGTTATTTGAAATTCTTACAAGGTGAAAGGGAACCGTCACCTCCACCTGCCATACGTGGTGGTAGGAAAGCAACTTGGAGTAGGTCAAAACCGTATATTCCTGTAGAACCCAGTAGATCATTAGAAAGTTCAACAAATGGAGAAACAATGAAAATACAATCAGAGAAGCCACCTCCACCTAAAGAAACGCCAGTAATTGATTATACTAATGATCCACGATATTTTCCTTTACCTAAAGAACGAAAGAAACAGAATTTTGATTCAAGTGATGATGGTTTTACTAGTGATGATGATTTTTTGTTTCCTCCTAAAAAATCCGATAAAAAAGTAATGAATACAAATACTTCTAATGTAACAGAAATAACAACTATAAAACCAGAAGGTAAATCTAAAAAGGGAAGACCAATTAAACCTGGAGGACCAACAGATAGAAAAAGAAGAGCTGCTGCAGCTGCAGCTGCAGCAGAAGCAGCAACAATTTCTACAACTGGTAAAACTTCCAAAAAATATGAAGAAGGTAATATATGTTATTTATTTACTTTTTATTGAATTTTGTAATTTAATAAATATTTATGTCAGTGCATATATATATATATATATGTATGTATGTATGTATGTATGTATGTATGTATGTATGTATGTATGTATGTATGTATGTATGTATGTATGTATGTATGTATGTATGTATGTATGTATGTATGTATGTATGTATGTATGTATGTATGTATGTATGTATGTATGTATGTATGTATGTATGTATGTATGTATGTATGTATGTATGTATGTATGTATGTATGTATGTATGTATGTATGTATGTATGTATGTATGTATGTTTGTATGTTTGTATGTATGTATGTAAATATATCTTTCCATTCTTTTATGTAGTAGATCCTTTACTTTTACCTCCGAGACGCGAAACATCTAGAAGAAAAGCAAAGGAGAAAACATCAGTGAAACAATTTTTAGATCGACAACAGGGTATAGATTATTTTGATAATGACGAAGAACAGGGTGATTCTGATTCTGATCCTGCTTGGACACCTGCTATAAAGTTGGTTGGAGATGAAGAAGAAAAGAAGAAAAAACGTGGGAGACCTGTTATTACCAAAAAAAGTAGAAAAGTTTTGGAAGAAGATGATTATTTTCCTAGTGAAGTTATTGTTTCAAAGAAATCAAGTAGAAAGAAACATGAAACCCCATCCAAAACTTCTAATGTTACTGGAAAATTGTCTTGTAAAATAGATGAAAAGCTTTTAGCATCTATTAGTGATGAAGACATTGATATTTCACCATTTAAGGTATATAATTTATTATTTTATTATTCTATTATTAATTTCAATTTATCTATACAATAAAATAATAAATTTGGTCATCCGAGTACGAAATCACAATTCAAAAAAAAGTTTAAAAGTGATAAGAGATAAAAGTAATTATATTAGATTTCTAATTATTTCTAATTATTTGTATCTTCGATTTATTTAAAATTTTTAATTTGTTATTTTATATGTATAGTAAAAGTTACTGTAACTAATATTGTACTACAGTTACTGTAACCAGTGAAATTACTGTACAGTAACCAGGTTGAAGCTCAATGTATTGCAACATATACTGTAATATATATATTGTATTTGTAATCTATTTGTGTATTGCATGCAGCATTCTGAGGATGAATTAGATGATGTGGTAAATTTTTTATGTGATATTACCAAATTATATCAATGGATTTTTATAAAATAGTTTAATTATCTAATTTTTAATCGTTATTTTATTATATATTTTTCAGTCTGGAGAATTTGTCGTAATTAAAGCAGATTTAGATGAAGAATATCCTCCGCTTTGGAGAATAGATGGCAAAACATTACTGCAGAAGTATGAACCATTTAAATCTAATGGCAAGACTTTATATCGAAACATATCTACGGTAATACATAATATCTTTTTCAATAAAATTCTTATATTTTCTTTCTTTTTCTACTTCCATTTCAACATATCAATTATATGTTTAGTACTCGGGTTGGGCACCGCAAAATCGACACATATATCAGCAAGTTCCAGTAAAGTTTTGGCAACAAGGCAAAACAGAAACTGTAGTAGAATTTTTAAGAGATGAAATGATTGTTGATGATAAGTAAGTTTTATTTCATTAATATATAAAAAGTAAATAAAGAAATTATTGCATTTTTACTTTTTAGCGAATGTATTGATAAATCTATGAAAGACACTGAAAAATATCAAGATAATTTTGAAGTATATATTCAAACATTGATTTCACAAGCTTTGGATTCTAACTTTCTTACAGAAATATTTCAAGAGCAAGGTACAATTTTTATTCAATATTTTTACATATATTAAAATGATTTTATTTTATTTATAGTTACATATTTACATCATTATCTAATTGTTTTTTATTTTAATAGATGATTATTTCTTATCAAATGTTAAAACTGTCGACGAAGTAACAGAAGAAAGGAAACAACGTCTTTTGTCCACAACAAAATGGCGATCAAATGTTATAAATGCAATATCAACTTGGCCATGTCTTAATGTTCTTAAAGATTTACCATTTACGGAATATAAGGGAAAATCATGTGCTGGGTGTCAACAATCTAAAATTCATGCCAGAGTTCTATTATATGGTCAACCATATAATGCAACTACATTGGAAGGTTCTCCACCTGATCCAAGGATACCTCAAGAAAAGGTTTTGTTCAAATTATTTTTTAGTTGTTGCTTACTTTTTGAAAATATTATTAAGAAACTTATTCCTATAATTAAATTAATCATTTCATCTCTAGGATTTTTTATTATGTCGAGTGTGTCAAGCAAAGGTAGCTTTGTACAATAAGGTTGCACATCAGAAGTATTTGATGTTCTTGGAGTGTGCAAGAAGGGTAGCAGATAAAAGAGTAGCAGATCCTCATAAAGATACCACAATAATATTGAATGAACTATTAGCAGATGAAACATGGTTAAATCAAGTAAGTAATAAAATATTTATATGTTGCAAAAAGATTAATTAAAATAATTTAAAAATGTAATCTTTTTCAGTTATTTAAAGAAGTTAGAACAATCTGGGCAGAGATAGATAATTTGGAACACCAAGTTAGGACAAAGACATGTTCAAAGTCAACATTATCTTCTACAGCGAATAGTGCAAAAGAAATGAATGAAAGTGTCTCAATAATACAAACAACTGAAATGACTGCTAATATTTCGGATTCACAGGTGCCTACACAGAAAACCGAAGACAGTTCTGAAACAGTGTCTTGCGACGTGCAAATGAGTAGTATATCATCTTAGTGATGCTATAATAATCGAAATTGATTCTGTTTCATACGAAGCCTACAGACCATTACAGGTTTATTGGCGTGTCGATTTAATGGACATGAAAATAATACCAGCCTCGAGACCAAACAATTGAATTATTGTATTTTGAGGATGGTATATATTTAAATTTAATTAATACAACACGCTGTGACGAATGGTGAAGTTAAATGTTAATGTGTAATCAAGAAATTGTAGTTATAGTGATAACAAGTAGTAAACGGCGAGGTAAGTAAAAAGTGATTTGCGTATAAATATCAGGCATATGTAAAATATTCATCCCTACGTAAAAATTAGAAATGAGCCCAAACTTTGCCATTGTAATAGCATGATAATAGAGATTTACGAATGTTTGTGTGCATAGACATTTAGTTCTAGCATTTGTATCGTGATAATTTTACATAATAACGAGGTCTGATACGTTAAGATCTGAAAAGAAATATGAAAGACAAATGATTTTAAAATATGAAGTGATATAAGACTATAAATCGTCACGACCTTCTGTAATATATTTACATACATCACACTCTCTGCAACTCTGAAGGTCTGTTCACTGAAAATTGCAGAAACTGTTATACTGTTTGTTCCTCTAATTGTAATTTTAAAATTCATCATGCATTTTCTTTATAAACTAGCTTACGTCTATCCTTTTTTAATGATTTAACAAATGTAAACGATATTTATGTTCTTGTTAATTTGTATATAAGCAGATCATACAATTACAAAATTAACACGTATAAAATACGTTAAAAATATTCAAAAGTGTTCCGATATAGCATTCTTTTAATAAAATGTTTCATGGTGAATGCAATATTTTGAGAATATGCATTGTTTTCTTACTAGAAGACATTTGTAGAACATTTGTATATATAAATACTTTTAATAAGACTAGGAATACGTCCTATGCACCTTTGATTCACCATGTGTTGACATGCAATCTTTATCAACTACATGTATTATATCTTCCATTGTAACAGCTTAATAATTCAGTACCAAGTTTCTGAGTTCTTCCATCTTAAAATAACATTTACAAAGTAATTCCATTTTTATTTTACAAAATATGAACAGATTATTAACATCACTTTAGATTATTTATTTTTGTGAATAATCTTGTGACTCTAATAACATGCGCATATTATGTATGAAGTATGAGTGAATATTACATAAAAAAAATGTATCTATTTTCATAGAAATTCTGGTAACGTCAGTGCTTTAAGGTCTCTGATCTACTGAGCAAAATTACATTTTTTACTACTTACCCTATAATCAGAATTTACATCATATCTTCCTTTTCAAATCTTACACAATAATCAATGAAAAGTAAACAAATTGTTAATAAAGGACATATTAAATTGAATCAAAAGTTCATTATTTAATTATTTAGAAGCGTCTAAATTTCTAATATATTTTTCTTCACTTAAAGATTTAATAATTTCAATAAATTTTCATTATATCTGATAATTACATTAATTTAATCTAAAATTTACATAAATTTTAGTTCATTATAAAATTTACGAAAAATTTTAAGATATAAATATATTTTGGCTTTCAAGGCGCTTCTACAGATATTTATCAATAGCTGATAAAAACTTAAGAATACAATAATCATTGCTAACATTTTTTCTGTATGTTAAATGTTATATTTAAAATTATATTATTATTTTTATGTTAAAATAATTATCGTCATCATTTTCACTATTATGATTATTATCTGTTTAAATCTTAAGTTTTTTAAGTTTTTGATCCGTTTTTAGCTTTGTTAAGAAAAAAATATTCTCTAAAAATGAGAGTGGTGATATGCGTGTGTGGCGCGATGTATTTTTCAAAGATGATATATCAAATTATATTTGTAAATTATAAAAATACGATGGTAAGAACAGGTGACTGCTATGATAAGGCCATAGAGTTTTAGACATTTTTCGTATGCTATAATGAATTGAAATTATTGTATTAGTGATTACTGTCGGGTTACCGAGTTGTATAATAAATTATTGGAGAAAACTATTAACTTGAAACCTAAAAATGCGGGCATTTGATCATTGACGCAGAAACAATAAAGGAATGTACGCAGTTACAAAACATTTTCTTTCTAGCAAATGTGCCATGCAATATTTCATATCGATAATTAAGCTAGTACTATATATATTCATTCATTTGTCATTCAAATTCAATTAATACAAGTCTAATCATTTTAGTTGAAAATTTATTATAACATCAATCATTTGTTACAACAGATAGAATGAAAAATTATGAATTAAATTATTATATGTAGTGCTAGCTTAAAAACGTTATTATCAACGATATAGAAGTTAATATTGTTATATTGTATTTTTTTTTACGGAAAAATGTATGTTTATTTGTTCAATTGTAAACTTATTGCTTTCTAAATCATGATGAAGATCAAGTATAATTTCTTAATCATGAGGTTACAGTATTTCTGTTATTACGATTTAAAAAAGAAGATATGATAAAAGAAGATAGCGAAATATTACTTAGATAATTTATGTTTTTATTAATCTTTTTTCAATAAAATGAAAAATTTAAAAAAACTGTGTATTAACTTGTCTGTCATTATAAAAAACTACTTCAATTGTTTGTTTTATGCCTTTATATGTTGTGTAATATTTTATAACGTGTGAAAAGAAAAATTTGACTACTTATTTTATGTTTTGTAATTACAAAGTATATGCACATAAACACTTTTTTTTTTTTTTTTAAGAAAATTAATATTTTTTTCTTTTGTTTTCCTGGAATTGCACTATTGATAATGAAAAATACACATATTATCTTATAGTTTACATAGTTTTGATGCAAAGGGTTCTAGAAAAAATAGTTACAGCACTGATGTAGAGGTTAGGTATAAAATGAAAATGAGCATGCGCTTATGATCGCTTCTCTTTCCCCGTTCCCCGCAACAGCGTTAATATTCTGATTTCCAGTTCGCGTTTGTTGCCCGTGAAGGATGCCTTCTGCCAACCCTAAACTAGAAAAACAGGCCTCTACGGAGACCGTAGATCCTATACGCCAAGCAACTGTCGTTATCGAACATAAGATACGGAATCTTGAAAAGCGTAAGGTAAGTATTTGAACAATATACATGTAAATAATATCGAGAAAATTATCTGTCAGTTGATGGCTTTTACGGTGCAATCCGCCATGATTGGATACGCCATGTGCTCACGCTTGAGATTTCGTAGGTATCTGATGATTACATTATGATGAACTAACTCTTGTTATTACATTTTGGTATTATAAGTTTTTCATTAAAACTGAGTTAAAGCAGAATTATTTTTCTTTGTACAATTAGATGCCTAAATTTGCAATCATGAATCTCGTGTCATGGCGGTATCTTCTAAAGATGTGCACAAAACTTTACGTGACACGCTTTCGAGCCGCTACCGGTAAATTACATTGTATAATGGTATTTTCTATTTGGCAAAGTATTAAAAGTCAAAATACAAAATTTAAATATATGAACTGCATTTTAATGCATAAAAGATTCTCTGTTTGTCCTCATTTATAATACTTATGTGAATCAGTTTTCTGGAACCATATAATTCTATCAGAAATTATGAACCAAATTTACACTTTTATGCAAAAAATAAATAGTTATATACGTAAATTTTCGTTTAAAATTAATAGTTATGTAAAAATTAATATTTTTTGTTTGGATTAATTACCTTTATTTTAGAATTTATGTGTATGCGTGTAGTACACGACATATAGAGTATACGTAATATATTGTATGCATATCACTGGAAAATATAGTAAATGTAATAATAAATTGATATTCTTGGTATAAATTATTTTTTTCCTATTTGTTTGTTGTGTGTGTTTTTTAATTACGTATAATATACTTATATATGTTATAAATTTCCATTATATTTGATTTATTCTATTAATCATATTGTTGTGTTTTATAAACATAATAGAATTAATAACATATGTTACATTTAGGGAAAGTTAGAATCATATAGGGATCTGCAGAAGAATGGAAAGGAACTAAATGCAGATCAAAAGACAGCTATAGCCAAATATGATGAAGTATTACAAACATTGGATATCACAAAGGAGCTATATAAACAAATTGTTGGTATTGCACATGATGCAGTTAAACAACAGAAGAAGTTGGCAAGGAAGGAAGCTATTGAAAGAATGCAACAAGATATTGCAAAGGTAAATCAAACGTGGTTTTCTAATGTAAACAACTTGTATTATTGTATAAAATGTTTGTATTATTGTATAAAATATGATCTAAGGTGAGAGAAGTTCTTCTTATACAAGATGCTCTAATGAACATGGGTACGGAATCTGTTAGAGAAGATTTTCTTGCTGGAAAAAATGGTGCTGTAAAATTATCAGAACAAGATTTAAAATATTTGGACAGTTTGTACAATGAAGTTATAATGAAACATCATAGAGAAGAAGGTGAACCTACATTTATTCAACAAGTGCAGAAAGTAGCAGAACATTATGTAGCTATTGTTGATGGAAAACAAAGAGAAGTTGTTGGTACAACCTACAACAAATTAAAGGAAATCATTACTTCTATTAATCAGTGTGGCTATTTTGATCAAGTTCATGAAACTGAAGCTGTAGTAGAAGAAGTAGGTCATTTGTGTATATTTATAATTGTTATAATTAATTTATATCAAAGAAAATATAACCAAAAAGCTAAAAATACAAAAAATTACTTTATTGAATTGTTTACAGATTACAGAGCCAGTTGCAGAGATACAAATAACTGAAACTGCTGTGCAAGATCAAGTCAATGAAGAATACAATACTAATGACAGACACATTCCACCTGAGTCCATAATTCCAATTCCTAACTTTCCAGTACAAGTCGCTCCTCTTCCTGTTGTTTCTGGCACTACTCCAGTTTCTGGTCCCATTCCTGTAGTTGCACAACCCATTCCACATCCAGCTGCACCAGTTGAACCATCTTACTACACAAATGCAACAGGATTTGTTCCTCAACCACAACCACAACCACAGCAACAGCAGTCTCAACAAACTCAACAACAACCACCACAAGCTCCTAGAATTAATGATGTCATAGGCACACCAAATTTCTTTTTCTTGCAAGAATCAGAACTTGATTCACCAGACATTACATCGCAAGCACCCATTGTATCACACATTACTGCTGCTGTTAATGCACCTATTCCTTCACAAACATTTACAAATCAAAACTTTGCAAATGCACCAGTAGTAGCACAACAAGTTATGTATCAACACCAACCACCACAGGATATGTCTCACATTCCTGGTTTTGCTAACCCTAATCCTCCTCCACCTATTCCAATGCCACCTTCACATCAGCAACCAAATATACAGTATAGTCCTCAGCATCCTGCTAATTTTCAACAGCAACCCCAGCAGCAGCAGCAACAACAACAACAACAACAAGCTCCTTCACAACAAATATCGCAACAAGCACAAACTCAGAATTTTGATTATCAACAAGAAAGTCAACAGCAACCTGCTGAAATATATTTAAGATATTATATTATAAATAAAATATTATATTATATTTTACAATGATTAAAATGTTAAATATTAATTTTTTTTAGGAAAAAAGTGAAGATACTCAAGATGAAACAGCAGCACCAGAATCAGAATTAGAACAACCTAATGAATCCGTAGATTGGTGCCAGATGACTGAGACTAATGATTGGAATCAGACAGACCAATCACAACAATCTGCTCAAGATTCACAACAAACACAACAACAAACATCCCAACAAACTTGGGGTGATCAACAGCGTAGTGGATATAGAGGCAGGGGTGGAAGAAGAGGCAATTCTAATGGATACAATGGAAGAGGTAGGGGCGGTGGTTACCAACAAAATGGACGCGGAGGACAAGGTATGAAATATGTAGTTATTATAGAAACAGAAAAATCTAATGCATTTGATTAAATAATAATTTTATTTTTAGGAACATACTATCGTAATGATAGTAATTACCAAAATGGTTATCAACAACGATCTTGGGGAAATAGCGAAGGAAATAGTGGTTATAATTCTGGTTATAAAAGAGGAGGTGGTGGATCAAGAGGAGGAGGTCCACGTGGTGAGCGTGGTATGGATAGAGGTAGTCGAGGACAGTTTCGTGGCCAAAGGGGTGGAAATCGAGGCGGTTATGCGCCCCGTGGTAAACCCCATACGCAGCAGTAATAAAAATGCGATAGAGTAATGCACAGTGAAACATAAATAATGCTGTAAGATCATAATTCATTTGTCTATTTGCGAAGAAACCTAAGTCGTATTTTTAATACGTATAAGCACTTGGTCGGAGGTTGGTTCCAAGTCATATACGTAAATTTTAATATGTAAATTAGCAATTTCAACGTTTCAAATTGTTATTTCATAGTTCTTGTAAATGATTAATTACTTATATTTCTACACATTAAGGAAATAACAAAAAAGAAAGAAATATTGATATCTATATATTTACATTTAAAAGTATTGTATTTAATTAGTGTGATAAAAAAGGAAATTGATTTTTAAAAAATCATATTTTAATATACTTTTTACGGCTTAGGATATTTCTTAAATAAGACATTGAATACAAAAATTTTGCATTTGAATTTGGTATCTACAATTATCAAAAGAAAGATCTATTAACATTAACGAAAAAGTTATACAGATGTAACATTGTGATATAAGAAAAGATCAACCAAATTTAGAAGCGTGAACCCACCATGCAAGTATTATTATGTTGTGACAGAAGGCAGTTTTCACAGGGCAACAACAACTGATCAACAAAGATTAGAAAAATAATTTTATTATAAAAAAATACAAAAAAAAAAAATGAGAACTCATACAAGCATTTCACGCAAAGACACGAGGATATATTTAACGAATAACGTTAAAATGATTACACGAATAGATGAACTGCACGACCATCTCTTTGTCTTGCGGCGCATCGTTCTAGAGAATTTTTTAAAGTACCAGAAAAAAGAGGATACAGTGAGTAATGCCTTCTAGTGCTATATATCTTCTTGACTTCATATGCCATTTTGGGACTATGAATCTATGAAGTATTTAGAAAGTTAAAGTTGTCGAGATTTAGTAGTTGGAAAAAATGAAAGGTTAACGTAATACATGAATACATAAAAATGTTTTTCATGAAATACGGTTCATGATTGCTATTAATTACGTCGCTCCCCCTGTTTTTTCTGTGTGATTCCAAAATTCTTTACGGTCGCCTATGCAGCTGGCCAAGTAAAAGAGATTGCAGTGCAATGTCAAGTTTATGAAGCAACATTACCTGATTTTTTTTATCGCAAAATATATATGATTATTTTAAAAAAAAAAAAAAAAGAAGCGATAGTGCGGAGCTTTAGCATGTAAGTCGAGTGTACAATTACTGACTAGCGGCAAAGAAGGTGTATTTGAATAATGCGCCATTGATAAAAGCCACGCTCACACCGCCAAACACGAGATGAGGAGTACCGTATTGTATTTCGTTTGTACATTTGTGTTTAATCACCTCCATCTACAGTTATGTTCAACTATCCTATGAATACCTATGTATCTTCCAAATAAAGATCTAATTCTACCCTGCTAACTAGCCTACCTATCGTACTCATTGTCAACATGAGAAACGTTTCGTTCTTAAGCTTGTTCTCAAATAAAAAAATCGAATAAAGTATTTGATTAATCATACTTAATTGACAATGTCTATTTTGTTACTGTCTACTTATTTAAATAATATGATATATGTCATTTACATAGGACGTACTTTAATTATAGTTAAAGTAACTATTTAAATTTCGCGCGTTTCCTCCTGTGATACAGTGCTTTAATTGATTGTCGTAGTCACAATTCGTTTTAAATTGAACGTGTTTAAAATCTTGTAATGTTTCATACATACATGTGAGTTGGCATAGCACTCTTGGTACAAAATATTTTAATATTTCTAATAAAATTAAATATTTTATATTGCGTATGTAAGAAAGTACAAGTGTATCTTTAAAGACAATTATAATACAATTGTAAAAATAACCAATGTGAATAAGTAGAGGTAATCATTTCTTTTACTTACTTTTCTTTTCAATTCTTTTAACTTAACCAACTATATTTAAAATATATATTTTATTATTATAATAACATATATATTATTAAATATCTTATATGTGTATTAATAAATGCACTTAGGTTAAGAATATTTATAATCTTGCAGAACTATGTGAAAATGATTTGTTATAATATTATATAATTTATTTCTTGTATTAGAATGATGATCAAAACTGCTTGTGATCCTACAATAGAAAAACACTTTAAAGGCCATGAAAATACTATTACAAGTTTATGTTTTCATCCTGAAACTACACAATTGATATCAAGTAGTTCAGATAAAAGTATAATATCGTGGAATTTGAAAGAATCTGTAAGAGCTTACAGATTTCTTGGACATAAGGATGTAGTCTTTGATGTCACTTATGCACCATCGGGAGAAGTCATAGCTAGTGCTTCTAAAGACAGATCTGTTAGAATTTGGGTTCCTAAAGTAACAGGACAGTGTTTAGATTTTAAAGCACATTTGGGAGCTGTCAGATCAGTACAATTTAGTCCAGATGGCGAAAAGGTATTTATATTTTAAATAATAATTGAATTAATTTATTTTTATCAGGTATTTAAATTTTTATATATTTTTATTTGTAGTTAATTACTGCATCAGATGATAAAAGTATTAAATTATGGATGGTATGTCAAAGAAGATTTCTTACGTCATTTACATGTCATACAAGTTGGGTGAGATGTGTTAGATTTTCTTTAGATGGCAGACTTATAGTCTCTTGTAGTGATGATAAAACAATAAAATTATGGGATGTCATTAGTGGACAATGTGTTAAAACTTTTAATGATGTGAAAGGTATAAATTATACACATATTAAAAACTATATATATTTTTTTATCTTTATCCTTGTTTTACTTTTTTCCATGTAAATTAAAAAAATTGATAACAGTTTAATACCAATTTTTAAACATAAAATCAAACAATTTTACTAGCTTATTCTACACATGTGGAATTTCACCCCAGTGATTCTGTTATTGGATCTGCAAACACAGCAGGCTGTGTAAAGTTATATGATATACGTACAGCTTCTTTATATCAACATTATGCAATTCATACAAGCTCAGTAAATATGATAAAGTTTCACCCAAAAGGAAATTTTATGTTAACTGCGTCTGATGATTCAACAATGAAGGTATATCCTTTTTTTATATTTTAATAACTTCTTTCTATTGGATTTATTAAAAACTGTAAGATAGGTTTTAGATTTATTAGAGGGTCGTCCAATTTATACACTTAGAGGACATATAAATGGTACCAGTGTAACATCAATAACATTCTCTTCTAACGGAGAATTTTTTGCCTCTGGAGGAACAGATCAACAATTATTAATGTGGAAAACAAATTTTGATAAAGATGACATTGCTAGAAAAATTTCACGACATTTAGTTTTACCTGTTAAACAATCAGAATTGGATATTAAGGATGATAAATCACATAAAGATGATATATCTGGAGGAGCAGAAGAAATGGAAGTAATAGATATTTTTAAATTTTGCGATTTAATAAAATGATTTATGAATATTTATTCATTAACATATTTTACTTATAATTTAAAATATTTTATTGTTTTAGTCATTACATGAAAAATTGGATGCTATCAATATAAAAAATGGGAAAACTTATTGTGAAGTACCAGATACAGGAATTTTTAATAAAGACATAGAATATAAAGTAATAAATATGAGAAATCAAAAACCTTTTGAAAAAGGTCGTATTGTGAATATATCACATTTATCTAAAGAATTGCCTAATGCATATTCTAATAAAATAGTAGATGCACTTAATGAACAAGTACAATCATTAAGTGATGCTATTACTATATTAGAACAACGTTTGTCAGTATTAGAAGAAGAATTAAGGAAATAATTTTTTATATTTTATTTATAAAGTTCTTCAATTATATAATTAAATAGTAAATATTTGTAAAATATATTTAAACTGTATTTAATAATTTAGGATTATTATTTTAAAGTATAATACATATTTTTTAATCAATTTGTTGATATAGTGTTATAAAAATGAATCCTCAAATATTTTTTCATGTACGATTTGGAATTTTAATATAAGAAGTTATATTTAACATAATAATTTTATAAAAGAAAACAACAATTTTATAATATAACAAAAAATAATGATTAAATCTAGGTTATATGTATTATTTTACTCCTACAAAGTGACATGATTTTCCAGTTTTTTTAATAGCCTGTAATATTTCATCAGGAGGAAGCGTAGATGTTACAATTACCTTCATTGCTTGTAGATCTATTTCTACCTTACGGACACCTAAAAATAAATATCAAATCAAAAATTTTTTTAACGCAATAACTTTTAAAATAACATTTTAAAATTAGTAATTTTTAAATATTTAACAAATAAAATTTTGCAATTTTAAAATAACTATTATATTTTTACTAAGAAACAAATTTTCAAATTAGATATTTTTGAACTTCAATAACATTTAGGCACACTTATTAAATTAGAAATTTCAAACATACAAATATGATATATTATAAATTTTAAAGCATACCTTCTTTCTTATTAAGTACATTTGTAACAGCATTGGCACATCCTTCACACGTCATTTCTACTTTGAATTCGTGCATCTTAAATTTATATTGTTTAATCAGTATTTTATTATTATATTAGATTAAAAATTCCATTACCTGCAATGCCATACTAGTAATAGTTTATATTTATTAAATTGATGTAGACGTATCTATTGTATTCAACAAATATAAAAATTTTTTTAATTGGACCGGAAATAAGTTTTATCTATCGTTTAAAGCGATAATATATTTATTTATTGGGTGTTCATAAATTTACTTGCTTCAATACCATATTTGGAAGAAACACTAGGGTTATTTTTTATTAACCTACACATGATTAATACTAAATACCATGATAAAAAGTTAATTGTTTAATGTTATTAAGTACATACATTGTTACTCAAATATTATATGTAATTTAATCGACAGAAAATAGATATATTTGACAATGTTGCAAGTGACGAGGTTAATGTACAAATGATATAGTTCCAATATCATACAATTTTTTCCTAAGTTTACTAAATTTAAAAAATGAATTTAATATGATTTCTGTTTTTAATTAATGTGCTGAGAAATGTGTATAATAATTAAATAATTTAATTTTGTGCTTATGAAAGTTTTAGACACTTTCATATATATATTCTAGTAATAATTTAGTTCTATTATGTTAAAATATAAATGCGATTTTATTATATTTATTTTATGGATTTTTTTCTATATTTAGTAATTCTAATATAGAAACAATTATTTAACAAAATTTTTATATTTAATAAATGTGGTTTTCATAAATCCATTTTATAATATACAAATATTAAATTTTTTAAATTATTTAAATCAGAACAATATTTTATCTTAACGTTTTACATAAAATATTAAAATAAATATTAAAATAAAATATTTTTATAACTGTGCGAAATAAAAATCGTATCACAGTAATCAGTTTATTTTTTATAAGAAAGATATTTTTCTTTTGTAATTCATACTAATGATTATTTAGTTATTTATAATTTAACTTTGCACATTCAGTCATATTGCTCTACAACATGAATAATTATAATGTGCTTATCAGTTTATTAGTAATTCATGCTTAATTTGTTGTAAAATATAGCATTTTTAAAACAATGTGAAGTTATATTGTAATGTATCTTAATTTTACTTGGATTGAACATTATAATTGAATTATTCATTTATAACATTTAGACTAGTTTCTGATCTTTACATCACGTTCTATTTATATATTATATACATACACACACGCGTCGTGCGCGTATGTACATATATATATATATATATATGTATGCATCGTATTTTGATAACAGTTTCTGTAATTTGTAGGAGGAAGGATAATTACAGTAAAAAGATTGCCTACGTAATAACATTACATATAAAACAAAACTAATTTTATACATTTACATATTTTTTTTTTAGATATATTCTTATGTAAGTACATACACTTAAGTAAATTTAATTGGTACAATGTACTATGTTCTATAAATTCAAAATATTCCCCTATTACTTTAATGAAACAAAGACAAAAAGGTCTTGGTTTTTACTTTTATGATATTCGAAATATTTTGTAATACAATATTTATTGTTTTTTATGATGTGTTGAGCTGATATATCTGAACGTGCAAAAATAATGCAACTGATAAAATTTCGTTACAAATCGCATTTACGATATATAATAATATATATACATGATTTTAAAAACTACTTATAAAACAATTATATTCCAAAAGCTCTATCCTATTTTTAAAAGTAAGTAAAAACATAATAATAAATAATAGTTGAAAGGCTATTAACAATTTTGACTTGCAAGGAAAATTGGAAGCAGTTGATTTGGAAAAATACATTGTTCACACAAGTGAAATAATACACTTTTGAGTAACATTTTACTACAATAGTAATAAGTTGAATATTAAAATTATCTTGCTTTCTAGAATAAGTTGATGGGGAAATTACTTAATCTAGAGGACTAACTGGATTGTAGCCTGATGGTAGAGTATTATGAATCCATCGTCAAAGAAAACTATAAGTATTCTGAATTGCTCTACCACTAGACGATGATGAACTTTGTTGTTCTGTAATGTTGTTTTGTTGTTCCAGTCTTTCCAGTGATTCTGTACGTGTTCTTATAGAACCTCCATATGTACGTACCTGTATATTAACATATAAATATTTATTATATATTTAATTTAATTCAAATAATCAAATATTGTCTTAAACTTTCTGGATTTATAAGAGATCACTAAATAATAATAATAACAAATGAATTACTTGTTCTTTAATTATTAAAATGAACCAGAAATTTTAAGAATATTTTACACATAAAAGCGAGCTCCTTGTCCCACGGTCATATTTATTGAGCACCATTGTCTCTTATATTAATAAAACTCTTTAATAATAAGAGTTATCACGTATTTCAATTTTGAAAATTAGTTTCATATACCAATTATATACATATATAATATTAATTTAATTCAATTAAATCTCCACATTCGGATTAAAAACTTGTGAGTATATACATATAATATAAAATTAATAAAAAATGTTATAAATTATATAACAGTAATATTAACTTGAAAAATAGTTATTTTATATAAAATAATAAACTTGTAAATAGACAAAACTTGTATCAATTTATTTGAAAAGAAAAAATAAACAGGTATACTTCATAAATAATATAAGTAAGAGAAACAATAAATTATTGAAAATACATTATCATTATAAAAAGTATTTCATTAAATAAAATATTACATTTTAATGTTAAATAAATGAAGAAAATACATGTATTCATATCTTTCATCAGAAATGTTAAAATAATTTATATTAAGAAAAATATTTAATGATGATTAAATACTTACAAAATAATCCGAATATGGACCTACATGAATTATTAAAAAATTGACGAAAACCTTTATAATGATGTAAATATTAATTTAGTAGGCATATATTATCAGCCGCGCGAAAAATAGGTGCATCATTTTATTTATTTACTCACTGTCTGTAGATTAGACTTCAGACTGTGGGTGTTGGCCACTCGCGTTCACTCAAGAGGAGTTAGACTTCCACTGCTGACTCTTACTTCTCTTGGCTCTGGAGCAGCTGGAGGTCTCCTTTCTTGTAATTGTTGTTGATTTATTCCAGCTGCATTATGATGTCCTGATCGTATTGCATGATTTGCCACAACAAATTCTGTTAGAGTTACATCTGCTGTCCCACCAGATTCAAGGGGTATGGCATTTAGACGAAAATGTTCAAGCATGTCATATATAGCAGGAAAACAAAGATGTTGAACACGACAATGTCCTTGATCATTTAATGTCATACGTAAATGCTGCAATAAAAATTAAAACATAAATTACTTCGAATGATTTTAATTAAATTTAATTTAATAAGTTGATTAAAAATAACATTACCTTTGCTCTGCCTTGGAAATTAAAAGTTAATACAAATTCTCCTTTTCTTGTCTCACTTTGTCGAACAAGAAATACACCATGACCATTAGCAGCACTATGTAAAACAAGCTGTGCTGCATCTGATCTAGGAAGCGTTCCATGAAACCATGGATATTCTCTTAAACTGCTAGATAAATCTAATTCACCATCATTTGCATTCACTAGAAAAAAATTTAATTCTAACATATAAACTATGTAAACATATTTTTTAAAAATTCTGATAAATGAATGTATTTTACTTTGCTCAATATCTTGTTGTGATGAACATAATTCCAAATTACTATTACTTCTTATACGAAGTCTAGGAGGTATTTCTGGAGGATTACCACCTATTTCATCTCCATGTTCATGGGATGTAGATCTGGAACTTTTACTTGCAGAATTAGTTCTTAATCTGTCACCTTCATTACTAATAGCTAATGAACCATGTCCTAAAGAATCTCCAGTAGCATCTGTTCCAGAACTAGGATTAACAGAATTTTGTTGTACTGTGCGCATACAATATTTAATAGTAGCTAACCATGATCTCATATCATTTGAATCATGAGCTTCTATTACAAATTCCATATTTTGTGTTTTTAGTACAAAGGTATTTTCATGATCTGGCATTTCTAATGCAGTTGTTTCTCTGGCTTCGGTTATTGCAGAACAAAATACACCACTGCGTGGTTTTACTGCTTTTGGAGGAGAATAAAATTCTAACATATATCCACCAATGGCTTTTATTAAGGCAAGTCTAGATTTTTCCCATTTTTGAGTTCCATCAATATTTTCTCCCATTAAGGAATTAACAATACCTTCCTTTCTACATTCCACCACAATCTTCGAAAGTTTAGCTTTTGAATGCTTGTCTCTACGGTGTTCGCTATGAGATAGTTCCACTTCGTCACTTTGTTGTTTATGAAAGAAGCTTTTGCCTTTCTTAAGTCCTTTAAAGGATAAACGACGGAAAAATGGTTTATGTGTAGGCTTTGGTGATATTGCATCACCATCATGTTCAGAATAATCACTGAATTCTTCATGAGATGATATACGAACAGGAGCACTATTGTTTTGAGTTATGGCATTAACATCTCTATCATTAGTTGCTATATGCCTTGTGTCATATAAAGATGGTGACCTATGTTATAAATAAAATTGGCAAAAAATAGTATATACTTTACATTTTTTTTATATACACTTATGATATATTATTTCTATATACATCTCAACAAATTAAAGTTGTGAACGTATCTCTAATATTAATATTATGGCATACCTAATCGTACGACGTAAGTATTCACTTTCAAAGTGTTCACAAAAGCTTTCGACAAATTTTCTTAAAAAATCACGATGGGAAAGATTTGATCTAGCACTTTCAGGTAAATTTAAACTGACGTAGGTACAAAAAGCTTTAGCAAAATCAGAAGCTGAAGCGCGGGCGTGTCTCTCACAAAATTCTATCCAACCAGGTGCAGCTTCAGGCGACACGGCAACCGCCGGCGCCGTTGTTGTTGTCGGCGTAGCCGTTGTTGTCACTGTTACCGCTGTCGTCGTCGATGTCGTTGTTGTTGATATTATTGTACTTGTTGTTGGTGTCGCCGCACTTATGGTATAAACACTCATTACCGGCGTATGCCTCACGAAGGGGGCTAAAGACCTCCCCCTGCCACTGTACAACCACCACAAAATTCTTAACACAATCGTAAAACTCTATGTATAGAAAACACACGAGCGTACTTATATACACATATATCGGATTTTGTCGTATGTATGAACCAGGTATAAGATAA